CGTCTTCTCAACGAGGACATGAAACGGTTGAAGTTACTGAGTTCTGGGGCATTGGAGTCATGCAGGTTCACCACCCAATCTGCAGCTGGTCCATCCAGGGCAGATTGCACGATCCGGATGCGGGCTTTGTCGCTGGGGATGTCCTGCCCATATTCCTCCATGTAGCTGAGGACTTGGGTTAGGAAAAACCCCAAGCGTGTTGGCTCCCCTTTGAATTTCACCTCCAACGGTGGACGTCTTGGAATGGATCGGTGCCTCCATTGTGGGTGGTAGTGTCTTCCGTCCAGATTTCCATCTTGGGTCCGGTAGGGGGTGGGAGCTCCTGGATCAGTAAATGTCCCTGGGGTTGCAGGTTCCACGTCCCCCTCGGTGTCTCTCCCTTTGTGGCTCCAGGAACTGGGGCGGGCGTAGGGCTCAGGAATCTCCTCTCCTAGGGAGCTGAGAGTTCTCTTCATCAGGTCAATAGCTCTCTCTAGGATCCAGTCTGAGTACGGCATACAGCTTCCTCCCTCTTCACTTGCGTGCAGGGATTTCTCCATCTCCTGCTTCCATTCTGGTTGCTTGGTCCCTCGTCTCAGGGTCACTTTTCTTGATTCCTTTCCCCACTCGCTTTTCTTTCCAACGCCCATCGACCAGTGAGGCTTGTGGTCCTGTGTCTCCACCACTTCTTCTTCTGAGAAATCTGGCCTCTCGGATCCCAACGTCTGGCAAGGTTCCAACTGGGTCAGCGGCTCTCTTTCCAGGGAGTTTTCTCCCTCTCTTGCTTCGTTGTCTGACATGGTAAATTTTTGCAAAATCCCCCGGCAAGGGTCTACCTTCCAGGTGGATTAATTTTGCAAGTCCTGTCTAATGTAAGGACCCACCCCACTTTGCATCTTAAGAAGACAGAACTCTTGGAATAGTTCTTCCAACAGGAATCCTTTATTAAGAGAAAATGGTTGCAGGCATGCTAGACAGGACTTGGGGTCCAAGCTCTCCCATTCAAGGTTTTAAGGGGTTCCCCAGTAGTCCCACCCAATCAACCCCCCTTCCAGTGATAGTTTCAAGTATCACAATTCCACCCCGTTTCTTCTTTCTTCCGTCTGGATGGAGACTTCAGATAACTACATGAAAGGCAAATACTCTTCTTTGTTAATGCTAATGTTCTCTGGTGCTAACACTTTGAGGTTACAATAGGTTACAATAAACACACATTCAGCATTCAGCTCTTTGAAGTCTACTGAAGGAAGTGAGGGCCATAAAGCCCCTTTGTTCTCCCCCTTCTCTCCCTCTTATGGCAGAATCCAAAGAAGGCAGAATTGGGAGTTTCTATATTTGATAATTAAAGATGAAATATGATTGGATTCTGACACCTTTATTATCTCTGCATTTATCTAAGTCTATGTTTCACCTCCTTAAATCTCTTTTGGAAGTCCAATATATACCCTAAAAATCATCTCGGTATTAGGTTTTCTCAGACTTTTCCAACCTTGTCTACAATTTTCTCAATTTCTTTCTGCTGCCATCATGTTTTTTTTTTTTCCATTACTGGGAAGCATGATCAGAAGTGGATCTTCTCGGTCACCATGTCTGTCTGGAATATCATTCCCTCCCCACCCCACCCCTCACCTCAGAGATCCATATAACTCCCATCCTGGTGATGTTTTTCCAGGCCTTGGAGTATGGTTGGTTGATGAGTCCCTGTAAGTTATGGTGTGGGGGGGGGGGTTTTGCTCACATATCATCTGACTTTTCATATTATTGTTATTTTAAGTAAATATGAATGTTTTTGGAATCACCCATTTTTAGAATAGAATAATAACTTTATTGTCACTTTGAATGTACATTAATCGACATACATTAAAATAAAATGCCATTGCATACAGCTCTCAAAGTCATCACCTCCAATATATGCTACATAAATATAACATAAATGATATAAATATGACATACATACATACATAATTATGCATATACCCACATATATTATATGACACAGAGAAACAACACAGTCTAGTTCGGATTATGTATGCATGGTGAGAAAAACGAATCTTGCAAGTTTACCAGACGGATGGCATAGGGAACAAAACTATTACAGAATCGGGTAGTCCTGCTAGAAATACTTCAAAACCTCCTCTCAGAGGAAAGCAACAGAAACAGACCATAAAGTCACATAAATAAAAATAATATTTGCATAAAAGCACAAATTCATCCTTATCATAAATTTCCCACCATCAACCCCCTCTGCCTGACATCTCTCTAGTCTCTTTGCATTTACATCAGATCTTTGATTCAATCATATCTACAGGGTTTAACCAAAAAGTCAAGCTGACAACTGTGAGGGTGTGATGATGCTGTGATGGCTCAGCTTCAACTGCACCATTGTACTTGCCGTCTTGACTTCTTTGACCATACTTTATGTGGAATTACTATTGCAGACAATCCTTGACTTACGACCACAGTTGGGAACAGAATTTACATCTAGGCATGGCACTTGTTAAATGAGTCACAACCTTTTGTGTCACAGTTAAGTGAAGTCATTGCAGTTTTTAAATTGATGCATGCGATCATTAAGTAAATCCAGCCTCTCCCATTGACTTTGGTTGTTGAAAGCCAACTGGGAAGGTCACAAATGGTGAGCATATGACTCTGGAACATCGTAGCTATTGCAAATACCTGCCAATTGCCAAGTGCCTGAATTTTGATCACATGACTGCAGCAATGCTAGATGTTGTATGTGCGAGGACCAGATCATAAGGCACTTTTTCAATGCCTTGTAACTTCAAAAGGCCACTAAATGAATGGTTGCAAGTCGTATACCCAAAGACCTCGGGAGGTTAAAATTGCTTTCTGTTTTTTTAATTAAGCCTCTGACAGTGCAACAGAGGTGAGGAGGTGCCTCATGCATCAATCTGGAGCTCGTTTCTCGGCTGCAGAAGCTTTTCTAGAAGGCCTCTGATGGTGAAACAAAAACTGGGGGCAATGGTGCAAGCAGCAGCAAGCGGCTGCAAGTGAAGTGGGCCAGCAAAGCAAGGCAGGTGCCAGGGCATGAGAGGCCTGGCTGCAACTGTCCTAAGATAAGTGGGTGCAGGGCACATGGGGCAGTTCCAACCTCCCCCATTCCCCCCCTAGCTAGATTTTTATCTGTGCACCTCGCCCCATCTCGTGCAACCAAATGCAATGGAGTTGGACAGGGTCTTAAGTAGGGCTTATTTTGGGTTATGGCTTATTTGGGCACATATGTAAAAAATCAAGCTAGGGCTTATTTTCGGAGTAGGTCTTATTTTCCAGGAAAACAGTAATAGCCTGGCTTGCACACTGGCTAAACTCAATTTGACATCACAAACCCTGGATGCACTAAACTAAAAAATTAAGCAGGCTCGGGAAGCAACCCTTGAAAATGGGCAGCCAGTAATTATTTATAAGGCAAAACATGGCCGTGAAGAATTTTGGGACATGTGCTTACTTCAAACCTGACTGAAAGCTCCCAGGAAGTGACATCAAACATCTAAGAGAATTGGCATAGAATATCGGACACTATAAATTTCTTTTCCACCTAACAGAACTTTTGCCCTGACTTCTAGACCTTCATGAGCTGAAAGCTTCCTTTTTTGGGAGCCACTGCAGGGATCCTTTTCTGCTGCCTCTATCAGTACCTTCCCCTTTGCATTAACAATTTGAGAACTTGCTTCCCTGAATTCTGGGAAAAAAATAAAAGCACCCATTAAATCTCCCTGATCAGATCAATTCTTAATCTTGGGCCAGTAAAAGTGCGTCATCCACACTTACATAGCCCAAAGGGGGGTATTGTAGAAAGTCAGCATCCACCCACCCTCCTACAGAAGGAAATATTTTGGGGAATATTAAAAAAAGGTGGAATATTGTATTTTCCCAAAGGAATAATGGAGAAAAATCTTAGGCAGAAACAGCCCCAGTCCCCCTGCCTCAAAGAGAAACTGAGTAGACCAGCTCTTTAGAAATATAGATTTGGTAATCCATTCAGGAAGACTGGGGCAGGAAGGCTGGAGCTGAGGTGATTAAAAAAACAAAGATCCCTAAAAACTACATCCCCCACCCAGCTTCAAGGACAGGACATGACCTCCAAGCCACAATGGGAGTCAGGCAACAATAATTAGAATACCAAAGAGCACAGGTCTAAGTACATTGCACAGGAATGGGCAGCTCAAATACAAAGCCCCAAAGAAGCTATAAAAACCCATCGTCTCTCAGCTCCATTTAATCAGCTGTCCTAGAACTGCGTGCTGTTCTACTCTTCAATAAACAAGAACCTTCTTTCAAAAGTTTCCAAACAAGAGCCCCAAAAGTTTTAAAAAAACCATTACTCCCAGCAACATGTGGTCAGCTTTCCCAGAGCCATGTTTCTGTCTGGCTCTGCTCTTCAATAAACTCCAACCTTCTTTCTAAAGCAGCCTCCATTTTGTTTATTCCCAGTTTGGAATGGACCCTGATTAAGATTTTTCTTTCAGCATATCCATAGATTATAAACATTACATGTCTGTCTGAAGTTCTCTGGGAAAGCATAATAAATGGTTTAGCTTGCAACGTGTCACAAGAATCCTTTTCTTGTTTGCTTTTGGGGGTTATTTTTTATTTTTAGGAACAGCAATTCAATAAGGTCAATTTCGGTTTAGAAAATGAAAAGGTATGGTTTGAACGTAATCTCAAAAGAAAGTAAAAAAAAAAAACGAGTCAGAACGCCTGGGAATAGTGTACATCCCATGTCAGTATATATCCCGTGATCACACTATCATGATCACGGTATTAATGACTATCATTTATTACTATTTCTACTACTATTACGATTATTGGTCCCTGGAGACAGTCACTTTTCCAAAACTCTTCCGCTTCAAACAAAGTGGTGCCCGGATCTGAAACCCACAAAAATTAAAAATCCGATCCAGGTGAGCGAGTGGGAGGCTGGAGAGAGAGTGGCGCTAACTCTCTGGACTGAGAAAGGGTTAATGGCCTGGCGCCCACGTGGGAAAGAAGGAAGAGGAGGAGGCGCCTTCCTGCTCCGCCTTTGGGTTGGGGGAGAAAGGTTTGGGGTTGTAAACCTCCCCCCCCTTAAGCAGCCGTATCTGGTGCAAGGGGGCGGGAGGGAAGACCAGCTCTTCCCCGCCAAGGGTGAGTTACAGGACAGAAGCGGACCTTTCCCCCCCTTTTTAAATAAAAACACGTGCGAGACGAGGAGGAGGTGGCAGGGTAAAGGAATAGGTGGGGAGGGCACTCCTTTTATTTCCCCCCCCCCATGCAAGGTGGATATAATATTAAAGATCGGAAAGGAGTGGGTGGGTGGATGGGAGGGAGAAAGCTTAGCCATCTCTTAGCCCTTCCCACCCCCAACCACATCAAAGAGGCAAAATGGCTGCATTCCCCTTGTCTTGGTGTCATATGGGTGGGGGGAACGGGTGGGCTGGAAGCGCCCTGAGAGGCTCTGCTCCGTGGGGCGTAGGGCAGTCGAAAGCCCCGCTTTGCAGGAGAGGAATGGACGTAGCGGGGAGGGCGCGGAGTTGGGGGAATGAATGGCTCAAGGTCTTTTTCGTGAGTACGCGCGTGTCTCTTGCAAAGGGGGTGGGTGGGCGAACGGGGTTTGCAGTGGGAGAAACCCTTTGCGGGTGTGTGAGGAGGGGGAAGGCAGAAATTTAGGAAGGGGGGGGAACTGGGCAGAAAATGTTGTCCTGGAAGTGGAGAATGAGCGAAGTTGGAAGGGGAAAGTTAGGGGCTAGCTGTGCTTGGGGGGAGAACAGGAAGAGGAATTTGCAAACCGTAAAAATGGGGATCTTAGCGTCTGAAGTGAGGGGGGGAGAGAGAGAGAGAGAGAGGAGAATTCGTTTTATGAAAGCTCTCCTTTTCAGTAATGGGGTGATGTACCCAAGCCCTGTTTGGGGAAAAAGTGACATGACTTGCTCATTTAGGGATAACTGATATTGCCTTGTCTGCTTCCTGATCCTGTGACTCTGAATGAATTCGGTAATGGATCAACTAGAACCTTCATTCCAATTATTAAAAAGATTGTGTGGTCGCTTAATTCCTTATACATTGCTGTACATTAAAAAATCCACAATTGATAAAGCTGGCAATTGGTGAACAGGCCTTATCCTCGGCTCCCCTACCTTGTCCCTAGAAAAGTTTATGGATATTTTAGGAGGGATACATTTGTGATCCAGAGATCTCTCTGGGTGTTGTTTCGAAAATGAAGGATAGAATTTTTCAGATATATATTTTGTGAAAAATTCCTTTGCCTCAAAAGTCTGTGATTGAGTTGGCAAAATAAATCAATGAAAACAATCACTTTGCTGTTTTTGCTTGTTTCTCAAAAGTCCCAAACAGAGGTTGCATCCAGTAAATTGGAATCAGTACACCAATTCTGGCAATTGTTGATTCTGAAAAAAACCCTCTTGTACAATACATCTAAATGTGTAAATCTAAAAATGAATAGACAAAAGTGCCTCTGCTGTTACTGTTGCTTGTTTTATAATAGGTTTTGTTATGGATAGTAGCTTTATATTGTTTGATCATTTACATTTTTTTGAAAGAGGAGGCTTTTTTCATATAGAAAGATTAAATGTCTCAATAATTATTTTGAGCACTGAAAAAATTACTTTGATATATGATGTCTCAGTTGGGAACTTGTAGAGCTCTCTTCAGATTTTCTTTTCAATTCTTATTTACTAATGTTAACTGAGTAACTTTAGCAGAGAAGCCAGTTATAAATCAGTACTTTTGCAATGTGACAAGAAACAACAGGGAAAAAGGATACGCAGTTTTTGAAATGAAAAATTAGGGATTTTTTTTCAGATTTTACTCATTACTACTATAATTGAAAATAAAGGTCGCTTCAAATTCTTTTTTGGGGGGAGGGGGATTCTTTAGAATTTGATGTACAGTATTCACCCCCAAAGCATCATGGAGTAATTGATTTCCTGCACACCATTATCACAATTGTGAAGTGACACAGTGAAATCAGCTCAAGTATAGAGAAGCTAAAAATAAATTATTTTTCTATGGTCCTAATCCTGAAGTGGCACCATATACCACTGGCTACATCTTCATGAGTGGGGAGAAATGGGAGGGACCAAGGCATCCTTGTGATTTTGTGCAAAAATGATTTTTAAATGGAATTGAAAATATATTTTGCCTTGGTTTGGAAATTAGAAAACTTGAGAGAAAATTCCTGACTTTTTTCTGTTGGTTAAAAATGAATACTTTAAAATTATCCTGGCTGCTGTGCCATTTTGTTTTACTGTTTAGATTTGGTAAATTATTCCTTTTATCACCAGCTGTGTGTGGTATTGTGCAAGCAAACAGAGACTTGAACAGCAGCAAAAGACGGTCCTGTTCTATTGTGGAACAGGTTTGCTGTTTTCTGGGGAGATGGAGCAATGTTGTGTGTTCTAGCATTTCAAAACATGAGATGGATATAATATATCAGGTGATTTCTGCAATCAGAACATTTAGTCCAGAAATATTGTGCTTGTTGGGAAAAGGTTAGTTCTAAACTCTGGTTTCCAGCATGGTGAAGGACTTGAGTGAGGAGACAACCTTACTGTAATTTGATCTATTTATTTATTTATTAGATTTTTATCCCACCTTTATTACTTTATAAGTAACTCAAGGTGGCAAATATACCTAATACTCCTTCCTCCTCCTATTTTCCCAGAACAAACAACCCTGTGAGGTGAGTTGGACTGAGAGAGAGTGACTTGCCCAAAGTTACCGAGTTGGCTAGATGGGAATAGAACTCAACATCTCCTGATTTTTAGGCCAGCACCTTAATCCCACCTCCAGATGCTGAAGTGGTAGAATTCTCAAAGAGTTATTATTCTGAATGTGTAGATTCAGGGAGAGAGCTAAAACCATCATCCTCTGCTCTTTCTCCTCCCTCCATTCTGAAAATAGATTGGGCACAGAATAATCACTGCAGCATTGCTCCTTTCCCCATTGCCTTTGTGAAGGAGTTGTTAGCTGTTATGAGGGAGGTTGTTTTTCTTTGACATTGACTCTTACCTTAAACTTTTCCAGTTTTTAATTTGCCTGGTGTTTTTTTTTTTTTAGGCAATCAAGCTTTCTAACTGATGAGAACTGCTCTAGTGCAGGGGTGTCAAACTCAATTTCATTGAGGGCCGCATCAGCATTGTGATTGCCCTCAGGGGGCTGGGTGGGTGTGGCCAGGGTGGGTGCGGCCTACTGGGTGGGCGTGGATGGAGTGGGTGTGGCCTACTGGGTAGGTGTGGCCAGTTCTACATCGTTTGTGTCAAGGGGGCTTGTGGGGGCCTGGGCAGTAGTGGGACAGATCTGAGGGTCTCTGGCAGAAGTGGGTGGGACCACGGCAAGTGCCAAACCATGGTCCGCTGGAGGCGCCTCACCATTCCTCTCAGGCCATGCGAGGGGGGGCCTAATGGAGCTAAGACTGAATGCGTTTCAGCATAGATGGCCACCACAAAATTGTACATTGGGTCCCGGCTGGCTTGGGCCAGGGCCAAGGGAAGAGGGCCGTTCCCTCACTGTTTCCAAGATGGCTTCGCGGGCCACATGAAAGTACTTCGCGGGCCGCATCCAGCCCCTGGGCCTTGTGTTTGACATGTCTGCTCTAGTGAATGAAAACAGGTTTAAATGGTTGAAGCATGATTGAGTTATAATTGCAATATATGAAACCCAGGGGTAACTGTCCTGCTCTTAAAAATGAAGTCTTTTTTGTAATTTTTTAACATTTCAGGATAATTTTTTTTCTTAAAATAGTTTCTGCCACTGGATACATATCCATCATCCTAAACCAGGCATGTCAAACTGCCGGCCTGTGGGGGGGATGTGTCATACCAAAACCACGCCCACCCTATTGCCGACAATGGGGAAAAAGTTGTGATACATCACGCAATGTCACATGATGTCGCGAGTTTGACATGTCTGTCCTAAATTAAACCAAAGCAAGCCTTACAAAAAAACCTTTTCCTCAGAAATACCATTCTTTATATGGAGATGAATTCTGTAAATATGATTAATTTCATTTTGTTGATTGCTGAGTGATTGCTTACTTTTTTTGTCTTTTTAGGGAGAAAGTACTCATGTAAACATTTGGAAAAACCAAATCCTCTTGATGTATGGCGGAATCCTGTGACAGAGCAGTTTCCTTGACAACGGTCTTTCTGCTTCCTGGAAATTGTTGGCCAACTTTGGCCTAAGCTTATGGTCAAAGTTTGAGGAAGAAGACTCTTCCCACCATGTTTGCCTGTAAGACTTGGGGTATCACTGGCCAGACCTCGGTCTACAATTGGGACAAGTCTGTCTACCTCTTAGAAGACAAAATGGAGTCCATGCAGGGATCAGGGGAGCTGGATCTTCATTTTAAGGTGCTGCTTGAGCAGGAAATGTATCCAGAGATCACAATTGAGGAGGAAGAGGAAGAGCCTGAGGAAGTAGAAGTAGATGCGGAAGGGGAGGCAGATGAAGAGGAAGAAGAAGAAGAAGAGAGGGGAGAGGAGGAGGAAGAAGAGGAGGAGGAAGAAGAGGAGGAGGAAGAGGAGGAAGAGGGAGAAGGGGATGAGGAGGATGAAGAGGAGGAGGAGGAGGCACATCCACAAGGCCCTCAGCAAGAGGCAGTGGGAGCAGTTGATGGAGATGACTCCCTGCTTGTGGTGTGTACTGGAACAGTTGAAGAGCTGCTAGGCTTAGAGGCATCACCAACTGCTGAATCAATGCAGCTAGAAGAGGCACCACAACCTCAGCGCTGGGAGGTTCAGTGGGAAGAAGTGTCCCAAACTTCACAGCCTCTCCTCCCTGAAATTATAGAACCACCATTAATATCACCAGAAGCAGCCACATCAAATATCACTCAGGTAGTGGAAGTTGCTGCAGTAGAGGTAGAACCAGAGGCCTTCCCGACTACTTTGGAGCAACTAGGGAATACTTCATCCTCATGGGGAACATCTTTCATTGAAGAGAGCCACCAGGACCTTCAACGCTCCCCAGCTAGTGCAGATAGAGGGAGTATTGGCAAAGCACGGACACCTATATCTGGAGGAAGCAGTTTCAGCCTGGAAACTGCACGCCGGCGGTTCCGGCAGTTCTGTTACCAGGATGCTGAGGGTCCCCGAAAGGCATGTGGTCAGCTCTGGGAGCTTTGCAACCATTGGCTGAAGCCAAAGAACCGCACCAAGGAACAGATTCTTGATGTCCTAATTTTGGAGCAATTCCTAGCCGTTCTCCCTCCTGGAATCCGAAGTCGGGTATGGGAATGTAGCCCAGAGACTTGTGCACGGGCAGTGGCCCTAGCTGAGGAGTTTCTAGCCAAGCAGAATGAAGCAGAAAGACCAGAAGAGGAGGTAAGATGGTTTAGTCCCCCTTCCTTTCCTCACATGTATTCTTAAGGTTCATTGTCAACAATGAATCTTATTTATTTGAGGGGAAGACCTCTGTGACAGGACACCTGCAGCAGGTATGGAAGGTAAATGAAATGGGACTTTAGGGCGGAGAGTCAATATGTTTTGCTTTTGGAACAAACGATGTTTACACCTGACTGGTGGTAATTACACAATTATTATTCATGAAGACTAATAATACTACTACCTTCTAAACTACTTTCAAAGCATACAAATCTCAATGACTGCCCCATAAAATATCACAGAGCAATAAAATAAAGTATATATTTCATACTATTTCCAGTATGTAGACTGAATAGGTTCCAGCAGGTTTATGGGTACTTCAAATTAGCAAGGTGAATGTTTTTTTTAAATATTTCCTCCTATAACAAGGTTTAGACAACCACACCAAACTATACCTAGTACTTGAGATTATTCTTCTTATTTCTCCCTTGGCTTATTTTATTTGCAGAATTATGGGGAGCACTCAAAAGTGTGATCTCTCATCTGCAGTCTGGAGTGCAATCCACTGTCTCCTTAGCAGCCCGATCACACTGCAATCTATTGGCAATCCAGCTGTCCTTAGCCAACTGTAGCCTGCTGATTCCATATGCTTGCCTCACGTCTTGCTGCTTTTAATCCATGAGCTTGGAAGGTCAGGGGCTAACAGCAAACAGTCAAGTCCCTGTGCAAAAAATGGGGAAGAAATATGCATAGGGGAAAAAAAAATCTGGCAATGGCTGAATGAGCTGGAGTTTTTGATTCCTTGCAAACTGTTACCTGATTTCCTACAGGGATGCAAACAAGTGGCAGAGACAACTCTTGGATCAGTTTGCTGTTGTCATAAAAATGTGTGTATAATTTTGGGTTGATCTCAGCCCCATCTGAGATTTCTAGCAATGTGGAATCTGTGACTCCACCCCAGTGCTGCTGAATTACAACTTACCGTGTCTTTTCATCCACCAGGTTGATGGGTCTATTGAGAGTGACAGCCTGTGGAGGTTCACTGGCTTTCTGTCTGTTTTTGTTAAAAAGTTTGCTACGGACATAGTATCCCCATCTCTTAAACAGGGAGATGAGACCAATCAGAAGTTTCCATCTGAAGAAACCTCTTGGTTGAAGCACCTGATTCATACTGAGATTAAAATGACATTTCTGGAACTATTTAGTCCTTTAGAACTTTGTCATATCCTACAAGTATGTACTAATCATGAGCCTGGATTTAAAATGATTCATGGATGCTTCTGCCACCATTGTAACAAAATTAATTGCCAAGTTCTGAACTTGAAATGTCTGAGAGTTGAAATAGCAGTATAACTGGGTGCAGATATTGAGATAGGTTGCATAAGGGCGAGTTTAGTCTTCTGTTAAGGCACCAGGCTAGAAACTAGGAGATCATGAGTTCTAGTCCTACCTTGGGATGACTAGGTGACTTTAGGCCAATCTCTGGTTATTATGGGAAAAATAACTGTGGAGGAGGAAGGAGTGTTAGGTATGTCCACTACCTTGAGTTATTTTAAAAAATAATAAGATCGGATATGAATAATAATGTCCTGGTACTTGAGAAGAACTCGATATATAAAAATTTCAAATCCAGTCTGAACCTCTGGCTCACTGTGCAACAAACCATAATAATACAAATGTTCTTGACATAATGGTAGACAAATATCCATGTATCAGAAGCCTGCAGGCTAGATGGTTATAAGCTATTTTATCAGCTCTCTAAAGTTACTGTCAGAGGACTTTCTCATTCCTGTTGTCTTATCCTTTTATTTAGAGAAGTTGGATATGGAGCTTGGGACCTTTTTAATTCTGTGCAGGCTCTCTCCTGCTGAGCTGCAAACTTTTATTAAAAATAATGAACCACCAAAAATCTCCTTCTGTGTTGTGAGCCCAAGGACATTTTCAGATGTTTGGATCTCAAGTCTCTAGGCAACATGGCCAATGGCAAAAATTGTGGGAACTGTAGTCCATAAGATCTGGCAGGCAGCTGGTTGCCCACTCCTTGTCTATATAGTCTAGACCAGCTTGCAGATTTGCTATTTAATTTTTATGGAGAGGCCTGAAGAGTTTCTATAAATGAAGCAGATATCTTTGTCAATGAGCTACAGGCCCTGCCAGTCAAAAATGAATGATGGTAAACTGCTCTAGTGACAAGCCAGACACCTGCTTAATTCTACTCTTATTTTTACTATTTTTTTTTAAAGTTCTACAGGTAGTTCTCAACTTACAACCTCAATTGAGCTCAATATTTCTGTTGCTAAGCGAGACATTTGTTAAGTGGATTTGCCCCATTTCATGAACTTTCCTGCCATATTTGTTAAGTGAATTACTGCAATTGTTAAGTTAATAACACAGTTGTTAAGTGAATCTGGCTTGTTGACTGCTTGTCACAAGGTCGAAAAGGTGATCACATGACTTTGGGACACTGCAAGCATCATAAATATGAGTCAGTTGCCAAGCATCTGAATTTTGATCATGTGATCATGGGGTCATAAGGGTTGCAAAGATCATGTGATCATGGGGTCACAAAGGTTGTAAGGGTGAAAAACCATGTCACTTTTTTCAGTGCTGTTGTAAGTCGAGAACTACCTGTATTTGAATTACTGCGCAATGTAAATTATTTCCTGTATTTACTTTTGGCTGATGTGATTTTGAATGGTACATAAGCATTTTGTTAGCCTTATAACAATTGGTAATTGGTATTTGTTAATTTTTATTGCTCTTTTATATAAAAAGAGTGAAAATTTCCGACAAAAGAGATGAAGAAAAAAATTAAACATTAAAAAAAAGCTGCTGGAGAAAAACTGACCAAAATGCATGTAGATACACACACACTTAAAACAACTTACTTTTAAAACTGCAGATTAAATTTTGACCACAAAAAATGTTATTATCAACATTTATATTACATTGATAAAAGAGCAAGCTCAGTCCTCAAGAGCATTTTAGTATAATAAATTCTATGTTTATAAATATAAGTCATAATATAAAATATATTTTTTAATCTAGGATTTAAAATCTGAAGTGATAATTTCTTTCCCGCAGTGCAAACTAGAGAAATTCAGAGAAATTCTAAATATTCAGAGTTTGATTTTCAATATACGTGAAACTAAGAATTGTTAACTTTTTCCCAGAAACTAACAAGTATTGTTCTGAAGAATGGCTGACATCCTATTATTTGAAATGTTCTCTGCCACTTTGGTAATCGATTGAAATGGTTCATATGTCAGGACATCACATAACTCTGAATTTCTTTCTCTCCCCCCCTCCCCCCCATAGTGCAGGAAAGGGTCAATCAGATATAGGTTGCATTCTTGGTCTAGTGCAGGGGTAGGCAACCCAAAACACTCAAAGAGCCACTTGGACCCGTTTCCCACCAAAAACAAAACACAGGGAGCCGCAAAACCATTTTGATATCTAAAATGAAGATAACACTGCATATATCCTTTTTTACCTTTATTATAGGTGTGTGTGTGTGTGTGTATGTGTGTGTGTGTGTGTGTATGTGTATACACACACACACACACACATACACACACACATTAAAAATAAAAGTAAAAATATGACTCTTGGGAATATCCATACTATTAAAACAATGATCACCAAGAGAATGCTTTAAGAGAATAAAATTACATACACACAAAGGTAAAAAAAGGATATATGCAGTTTATCTTCATTTTAGATGTCAAAAGGGTCTCTCTCTCCCTCCCTCTCTATCTGCCCTTGGTCTGCCACTCCTCTTCCCCCACTCTCTCTCTCTCCCTCTCTCTTTCTCTCTCTCTCTTTCTCCCCCCCCCCTCCTATCTGCTGCTCACCTGGCAAGCTTCAAGCTGTTCTCCAACAAGCTGGGGGTAGGCAACCTCGTCTCTTTTATGACTCATGGACTTCAACTCCCAGAATTCCTGAGTCAGCCTAGCTGGGCTAGCTAGCTCTCTCCTGCCCTTCCTGCTTCCTGCTTCCTGCAGAGACGCAGCAAAGGGAGGAGCTCCGCCCAGTAAGCTTTTCAGCTCCTCGGAGAATACTGTGAGTGCACTCTCTTTTACACACACAGACACACAGACACACACACACACACACACACACAGAGAGAGAGAGAGAGAGAGAGAGAGAGAGAGAGAGAGAGAGAGAGAGAAGCAGGGAAGTGCAATTGCCTCTCTCTGTCTCTGTCTCTCTCTGCAAAGGCAGAGGAGGCTGGGAGCCACAGGGGAAGGCTCAAAGAGCCGCATGCGGCTCCGGAGCCGCAGGTTGCCGACCTGTGGTCTAGTGTCTACATTTCTTTGTTCAATATGTGGCAGAACATTCCGTGCTAACATTGGTCTTATTAGCCACCTATGGACACATCGTTGATGGCCCATAACCCACAAGATGTCAAGGTCTTCATCGAAAATCGATGGACGAACAACACATATTCTTGGACATCCCTGCAGAGAGCATAAAGAAAAAAGCAGAGGCTGTAGTTTTCAGAGGCAATTAGGCCTCTTCTTTAACATCTGAGCAATTATAAATAGCTGGGATGCCAAAGCTGAGGCACCTAAACTGGAATGAGTTTGGGCAAAATTATGCCCATCAGGAATGGGTTGCATTTTGTTTTTATCCTCAAGACGTTTTTAGAGATTGCCTCAGAGATAGTGCTGGCTCTAAACCATCATCATGCTTATAATTTTTAAGAACCAAACTGTCTTGAACCTCTTTTCATTTCTTTCTCGGCTCCTCAAGACTGGTCAACTGTCCACTGAAATCTCATAATAGGCTTTACAGATCTTTAAATTAAAACATTTCAACATCTAACCCCCTCTCCCTTTATTTTCTCTTTGCTGTGCTGGTCTTCCACAAAGAGGGTTGAATCTGCTGCCTTCAGTAGATTTCCAGAATACTACACAAAGGATGCTGGGAGCTGTAGTCCTACAGCCTGGAAGCAAAGGGTTTATGCTAAGAAGTTAGATTAGGTTTCTTCTCTAAGAGGTCCTTTCTGCAGAAATGTAAACTATAATCAGAAAGTAGATATTGATATAAATTGTGATATTGGAGCAGAAAATCACAACTCGTGATCTTTTTTTTTAATTAGAATATGATTATGGAAGTCAGAAGCAATTGAGGAAGTGTTTAATGTAGGGGTTCCCCATCATCCCCAGCCAGGTAGCTCTTCTGTATCATTAGGTACTGAAAGCCAATTTGAAAATTTTTACATGGTAGAAAGCACATAAAAAAGCTAGATTTCCAAAAGACTGGATGGACATACAATTACAATTGAGCAGAGTTGCATAAAGTATGATCACTAGGAAATGATGCTGCCTTCTGAAAGTCTTTTTTTTCCAGAGAGATTTTAATTGTGATTTTCCTGTTTGAAAAGGGAAGTGGAAGGATCCAAATGGGAACTGATTCATGGGGTTCTCTGGTTTTTGTTGTGAGCGCCAGCTTTAGTGAAAAGGTTTAGAGGTTATAGAAAATATTGAAACCAAAAATTAATACAGCGGAAAAGCAGAAGAAATACCATGTATGCTTTTGGTTCTCCAGCTGAGAAGATTTCATGTGCTGAGACTGCACTGAATAAAAATTTGCTTGTTATTAGTGAATGATACTAAAATGCAAATAAAGCAATCCACATTCTGAATAGCAACAAAGGCAGAATACTGTGAGATGAGGAGAATCTGTATTATGATTATGATGATATCCCTCGCTTACTTTGTACAATTCAAGCTGACATGTATACAGTAATGCTTCTTCTATTTCTTAGAACAACAACCTTGTGGGGTGGATTGTTTAAAAAATTCTCCCTAGTTTCATAGAAGATAAGGTTGGAGAACATCTAATCCAACCCTTGTTCAGAACAGAAATCTACTACAGCATCCTTTGCAGATGGCAACTACTTAAACCCACCCAGGATCATGGAGTTTAAAAATAAAATGTAAATATTCTCCTCCCCTCCCCCAAACTACCAGGTCTGTATGGGGAATAGAGACCCTATGGGGGAGCCAGGCCCAAATTTTGTATCCCCTTTTATTTTCTTTTTCAGGGAGGAAATGTTTATTTTAATTTTTTAAGTGTACTTAGCTTAGTATTAAACAGTCTTTGGCTTCTTTGTTAATTGTGCCTCTTTGATTAATCTTCAGGATTTTGACTTATTTGAGGAGGTGGTAGTGGCATTTCCTGATGAAGACCAAGTCGCTTCAGATATTGAGCATGGAGATATATGCATGGAAGCTGGACAGCAGGCTGATGTAGACATATGTTTGCTTGGTAAGGAACCTTTGACCCATCTACTTAGTGCCTTGAATTGCTTTTCTTTCTCTAAATGCATTTTTAAAATTATTATTGATGTATGCATCCCCACTGCAAGGATTATATAAAATGGGAAACACCTAAACAGGGGTAGGCAACCTTGGCTCTTCTATGACTCATGGACTTCAATTCCCAGAATTCCTGAGCCAGCATGGCTCAGCTTAGAAACTTCTCCCTTTCCCCTCAGCATGGCTGGCTCAGGAATTCTGGGAGTTGAAGTCCACATGTCATAAAAGAGCCAAGGTTGCCTACCCCTGACCTAGAACCTAAAATGTATACAGTAATATAAATCCTAACAGATGACTACGAATACTTTTAAGAATAGCTCAAATCAGCTTCTCCAATCCAGTGTCCTCCAGATGCCATCATTCATAGCCATAGTTTTGAAGACCTGTCAATGCAATGAGCCTTAAATTCCATTATTTTTCCTTTTATATGACCAAATCATGGTCTGCTGTCTCAAGTCTCAACGGTGCTTTTTCAAAAGGCAACTGGACTGTGTTTTTTCCTGTGAGAAAGAAGTCATTTCGCTTCTCATCTAAGAAACGTCATCAGTTTTGGCTGGATGATGGGAAGGGGGGTGGAGATGGAAGAATTAGTTCTGATGGGATGTTTGGGAGAAATGGAAGGATTATATTTCTTTACAATCATCAGGTGGTTAGCACTCTCTCTGAGAGCCGTTAAGGTTACTTAGGGATTTATCTGTGCCCTCAGGGTCACCTGAATCAGAGTATAAATGGGTGTGGAATCTTCTTGAAACAGCCAAAAGGACTACATTGTAGACGGGAGATAGGTGGGTGTTGTATCCCTCCCCCTCTGTTAACAGAGGGCTGTTCAATTCTAACATAGATGGCCTCTATGACATTCTGGATAGAGAGGACTATTGGTTTGAAAGAGGGATAAAAGAGGCCATCTATGTATGAATCGAACAACTCTCCCTCAACAGAGAGGGAGGAATACGACACCATCCATCTCCTGTCTACAACGCAGTTCTTTCAGCAGTTCCAAGAAGATTCCACACCCATTTGCATTCTGACCATGAGGGCACAGATAAACCCCTAAATGGCTTCAACTGCTCTCAGAGAGAGTGCTAAAGACCAGATGACTGCAAAGAAACATAATCCTTCTACTCCCCCCCAACATCCTGTCAGAACTAATCCTTTCATTCCCCTCCCCCCATCCAATCAGAACTGATGAAGCTTCTTGGATCAGAAGTGAAATGTTTTATTCCGCAAAGGAAAAAAAAGTAGTCTAACTGCCTTTTTAAAAAGCCCCTTTGAGACAACCATGATCTGGATGACTGAGAATCTCCATAGACATCCTTCTCAAGTATAATAAACTCTTTCGTATAAACAATAGCATTATTAAAACAGACCTGAAAGCTCATTATGGTTGGAGATTAAACTATGGTAGATGCATACCAAGACAGGAACAGGAACATGCAGAGGTAATTTGTGAAGCCTATGGTTTGCAGATAGCAACCAAGTTATATCCTGGCAATTTTCTTTTTCAAGTGGGCTACCATTAAACAACATAGAGCCTTTTTTTCATGAAACTCCAGTGAAGTGAATTTGGAACAGTGTGTGTTCATTTTCTGTGGATAATGCAATCCATTCCTTTGCTGCCTTGGCATTGAATTCCACAACCTTATCAGGGTCTTTGAAAAATATGGACTTCCGGTTTTGCGTCATGGCGAGATGGACGCAGGAAGGGGTCTTCCGTGCCCGATTTTTCCCTGCTGAGGGCCCTAAAAAGGGCTTAAAGTTGCCCTGAAGAGGCAATGAAGAAGGAGAGGTGTCTTGTCAATCACGGAGAGATGGCGGTCTTTCCATTCAATATGAGAAAAGCCCTCCAAATCACCAGGGGAAAGACTGGCTACATTCCTATGGCCAGCCATTAGTTGCTGACAACTGAAGAAGAAAAGCACCAATCAACACATCGTAAACAGCATATCTGGAACTGGGTGAGAATATTGATCCTTTCTTTACTATTTAACAACTGAATTTCCTGAGAAAGGCTCCCACGAAGCTAAAAACCTCCGAATGTGAATGGAAGAGGCGTTTTAATTTCTATGGGGGATAGAAATACACAATATTGAAATGGAAGTAATGTAAAGCTACAGTTTAAAAATTTTGAAAAGTAAGATAATTGTTAAGATTCTTTCTTTGAAAAAAACCCATTGAGGTGAAACATAAGAAATCAATCCTTTGTTTTAAGAGTGGAAAATGTATTTTGAATGACATCTAGTGGTGGATCTGAGTATAGCACTATAACTAGCTTCCTACCTGCTTGGTGATTCCTAGCCCAGTGGTTCTCAACCTGTGGGTCGGGACCCCATTTGGGGTCGAACGACCATTTCACGGGGGTCGCCAAACAACACAGTCCGCCATTTTTTCCCCCTTTTCCTTAGCTGTGCTACTCCCTTTTATTCTATTGGCTTTTGAAAGCCAATAGAATAGACTCTCTTGAATAGAGTCTAATTCTATTGGCTTTCAAAAGCCAATAGGAATTGTCCAGGCTGTCTCTGCCCTGCTGAGCCTGCCAAAAGTCCCATTCTGCAAATGGTGTTGCATCAGTTGAGTAGTCCTCAACTTACGACCGGTTGAGTAGTCCTCGACTTACAACTGGTTGGGGGTCACGGCATTAAAAAGGTTGAGAACCACTGTCCTAGCCTAAGGGAGAACAGCTGGTAATAAAGGAAAATATTTTGGCATTACTTATCACCCTGACCTTGTTGGACTATAAATACTCACTGAGCTTGGACTTTTAATCTCAAGAGCTAGTGGAAGAGAAAGAAGAACTTGACCTTTGATTACGTCTGGCTGGGAAAGACTTTTCAGCTGTTTTCAGGGAGATTGAACACTCTGAACATTGTGGATTATAACCTTGCCTGACTGACCATTTTTGGATGCCTGAGACAAAGGATCACTATAAAATATTGCTTTTGGGACTGTTCCTGTATTCTAATACCTATTGGATTATAAAGACTGCATATAAAGACCAGAAAGCTAGAGGAAACTTTGTTCTACTCTTATTGAGACTGGTAATATTAGAGGATCTCCAGGAATGATGCCTCAAGAAAAAACAAATACCTTTCAGAAGGAAATATACTCTGCATTACAACTAATTCACCAAACAATTGTTGCATACAAAGAGGACATAAAAAGAAACCACAATGAGACTAAAAATAATTTAGATAATATAAATGAGCAAATTTCCAAATTAAATCTTCAACTAGAAAGTTCCCAGACAACAACTACAAAGTATGAACAAATAAACCAGAGATTGGAAGATGAAGCAGAGGAAATGGTTCTAGAGACAGAAGAGATGAAAGAAGGGAGATATAAACAACCATACACAAATAAAATACTACAAGACTTATCCATAACAATGAAATTGCAAAAAACCCTTTCCCTTTAAGATTGCAAGATGTACCTGATGACAGGAAGAAGATTTGGGAGGATGGAACATAGAGCTATCAGGGGAAATGTTACAGTTTGAGAGACAAAAGATGAGGGGAGAAATTGAGGGAGAAGGAAGGTGGAAGTTGCTTAAGAAACATAAATGGGTGGAATTCCCCCTCAAAAATACCCTACCTAAATTGTCTTTCTCATGCCAAGCAACTTTCATAAAAATAGAAAGAAAATTCCTGGGCGATTTAATTGGAAAGCTACTTGGCAAAGAAAGAAAGCTAGAGTTAGATTTTAAAAATAGAAGATTTGACCTATTAGAGGGGGGCATCATATGTTTAAGTACTTGTTTGAATATGGTTAGAAGAATGGATAACCCTTAACTATAATTAGACTTTTATAATGAAAGATATGATTTATAATTAAAATAGCATTTTTTCTCTTTTGATATGGGAAATATGAAAATAAGAGGATTGGTATGAATAAAATTTTAGCTATATTAATGTAATTAATATTGAGAAAATCATAACTGACAAAGATACTGTAAATGTTGATGGGAAATTAAATCTTGACAAGAGCACGAAAAGCAGGATATTGATTAATGAATTGATATTATTATTTATATAATATTAGTAAAATATGATGAAAATGTTTATATTTAACTCTGTATACATCAATAGTATCAAAATTGTAATTGTGTAATGAGGGGAAAATGGAAAGAATATGGGGAAGAAAGGAGGATCAGGGAAAAAATACTGGACTGTGCAGTACTGAATAGACTTATATTGGAGAAGTTAATGTTAAATATGTGAACCCAGACAACATGTTGTTTACTAAGCTCTGAAGATTGTAATTCTTAAAAATTAATAACACTTTAAAAAATATGGACAATTACTAACCAGTATTGTCAGGCAGAAACCTGCCAGCTTTCCTTTATGCTGGTCTTTGACCATAATAAATATTTGATTTGCCAGTTTTACTTTTAAAAGATCTAAAAAACATCTTGGTGAGTATTCTTTACATATCTTAAGGCATGTTTTCAAGTAAGCTTTAGGTTTGGCTTTTTTCCTTTCTTGCATAGGATCTTCTGACACAGAAGCTACCTGGGATTCTTCTGCAGATGAAGGAGAAAGAGGGGGTTCAGGTGAGTCAAGACCTTCTGTAGCAAAGTGTAGGAGGAAATTCTGAAAGGAGAATGAGTCTTCCTACTTCAGAATAATGCCTCCTAACCCCCACTTATTTTGAATCACTGTAACATTACCTCAATTTGAGTGCAGCCCTCAGCTATCAAAAGGATGGCCACCCTGGCTATAACAATGAAAAATCTTTACAGTTCTTTGAACTCCAAAACACTGTCTCTCGTTAGTAAATGGCATTGATTTTTGTTAATTGCCTGAAGGCTGCTGCCCTTAATGGCGCTCGAGCTCATTTAGTATTTACCAATAAAGCAGATGAATTCAGATTCTCTTCTGCATCCGAATAATCTTATATTATCTTATGTTATTTTGATTATTGTGTACCAGGCAAATAGTATCCTTTCTTTTTAATGTACCAGAGCTCTCTGTAATCCCAAATATGTTGAGATTACAACTCCTAGAGTCTCTGACAATATGACCAAAGGGAAATAAAGTGAAGTCTTCAAGCAGAGCTTGACTCCTGGAGATTTCATGTATAAATGGCCCACCATTGCCTTCTTCCATGATGACTTTTGATTGCTTAGTCTAGCTTACAGTTCCCATCTAAATACTAAACAAGCCTCACCCCTCTCTTAGCTTTCACATCTAGAATACACGAGCCAGGTGCTGCCGTAACTCCTGTCCTGTGGAAGATGTAGTCTCAAATCATCAGGACAGTTTCAGGTTGAGGAGGGCTAGCTAAGAAAATCTGGAAAGAGGAGACCACTTTAGGAGGGACGTTATCTGCTGTGTAAGATAAAAAGGAAAGGCTCTTTAAAGGAAGCGCCTATTGGAGTGTGTGTGTGTGTGTGTGTGTGTGTGTGTGTGTGTGTGTGTGTGTGATGTCTCAAACTAAGAAAGTATTTTGCTTTAAGTGTCTCTCATGTGGCATAATTAATTCATCAATTAACTAAACTGAATTAGTAACTTGGCTAATCATGTTTTCACCAGTGATAATTAATCCAGTCAGTTTCGTAAAATGAATATAGTAACTTGGCTGGTCAAGGGTTTATTGAGTCAACAAAGCTAAATGATGTCTATAAACTATTTGAATTCTCTCCTTTTCCCACATCAAAGCTGGTGCCCGGACTCCTAACAGAGCAGATCCTCAGATGGGATTTGGAGAGAGACGCAATGGAGCAGTACAGCATTTGGCTCCGAAGAGGATACGGATAAGAGAGAAACGCCACCCTTGCATTGAATGTGGAAAACGGTTCCGTTGTCAGTCAGAGCTAGCCCTGCACCAGAAAGTCCACACCCGGCCCAAATCCTATCACTGCGCTGAATGTGGAAAACAGTTTGGTCGATCCTCACATCTCACCAGGCACCAGAAAACCCACATGGGTGAGGAATGCCATGTCTGCATCGAATGTGGCAAGCGATTCCGTTGGTCAACGGAGCTTGTCATCCACCAGAGGATCCATGCTGTTGAACAGCCGCACTACAGTATCGATGCTGACACTTTGCTTCAGTGGCCCTCCGAGTTCAATATGCCCCAGAATATTTTTATGGGTGAAAAAGTCCCTCCCAGTGGTGATATGGTAAAACCTCATGCAGTCAAGAAGCCTCACCTCTGTCCTGAATGTGGGAAAGGATTCCGGTGGCCCTCTGAACTCGCTGCTCATCAGAAAACTCACAACAAGAACAAACACTACCTCTGTCCTGAGTGTGGGAAAGGATTCCAGTGGCCCTCGGAGCTGGCGGCCCATCAGAGGACCCACGCAGGCAATGGTTTGCCTCCCATTGCTGATTATGAGAACAGCAACAGCCAGCCACCTCATCATCCTCCCTATCTGGGAGCTGGCATGGCAGAGAAACGGCATCTTTGCGGAGAATGTGGCAAGGCGTTCCGATGGCCATCAGAACTTGCCACACATCAACGCATCCACACAGGAGAAAAGCGCTACTTCTGCACAGAGTGTGGGAAGGGGTTCATATGGCCTTCAGAGCTGGCTGCTCACCAGCGAACCCATACTGAGAAGCAAGCTTACCAGTGTCTGGAGTGTGGGAAAATATTCCATGATCTCTACGGTCTCACAAGACACCAGAAGACCCACTTGGGAACCAAGGTCTATCCTTGCACGGAGTGTGGGAAAACCTTTAGTCGGCAATCTCATCTGACTCGGCATCGGATCACTCACACTGGCGAGAGACCTTACCCTTGTATTGAATGTGGGAAAAGGTTTGGACGGCAGTCACACCTCACTCGGCATCTGAGAATCCACACAGGAGAAAGGCCCTATCAGTGTGGTGACTGCGGAGTGAGGTTTAGGCGGAGACACAGCATGATGTACCATCAGCGGATCCACTTGAGAGAGTCCAGTGGAGGTGTGGACATGATAAACCCTCCTAATGCAGAAAGTCTTGCTGATCCTCTCCAGAATCCTCTCCATGTCACAATTTGAAACGTTGGGTGGTAAGGAAGTAATTTCAGAAGGAACATGGGATGTGTGAAGGGGACACCTTAATCACAACATCTGGAAGAGATTCTCGTGATGTATTATTTCACCACCCGGAGAGTCTGTATCACAGGCGGGGTCCAAGAGGCACGTGTTTTCAGGATTCCTTACAGCCTGTTAAAAAATGCTAGCACAGGGCCTGTGAATTGTGCAAATGATGTAAAGGATTCTGTGACAAGATGTCCACACTGTCTTCTGAACAAGTGTTGCTTTGTAGTTGGGCTGAAAAACAGGGTTGCCCCCAGAAACAGGTCTGGTAAATTGGTGGCCAGGTTAGTCCATGGTCCTAATTTTAGATTTGGCTCCTGCAAAGCTTTTGTGGCAGGAAAGAAACATTTGATAACCAGAATGGGTCTCCCCTTGCTACTTATGACAGACAGAGCAGTGTTTGTTCCCTAGAACACATGGTTGTGGTGGGGTGTTAGACAGAATCTGCTTTCCTCACTTTCTTCACTTTTTCTTTCTGTGGCACATATGTGGGTCAGGTTGGGATTGTTGCGATGAGAGGACTCTGTGGGGCCATCATGTTGTTCCTTGCAGGGCAGGGCACTCTTTGCATTTACACTGTTCATATGTAGAAAGACTCATGCTGTCGCAGTGGGGAAAACTGACCTTTCCCACTTTTTAAAATAATATAATAATAATAATAAAAAATCTCTTAAGTTGCAAGAGTCTGATTTGGAACGAAATACAACCTATTACTTCATATGGCCTTCAGAGTTGGCCACTCACCAGGGAACCCACACTGGTGGCAATTCTTCATTTCTACCAATCCTCCCAAGGCAGAGAAATCAGCTAATCAATCTAGATTTTGGAAGACAACATGGCTGGCTCTCCAAAGATACTTTCAATGAGGTACTTTTACTTTCCGTGGCACTTCTGTTTTTCCTTTCCTCTTTTCTTGGGAAATTTTGGGAGAAATTTCCTTCCTTCCTTCCCTAGGGGCTAAATTACTTATTTTTTTTTTTAAAAAAGAAATATGGCAGTGTTCGGGTCTTTAGAGCAGTGATTCCCAACCCTGGCAACTTTCAGATATGTGGACTTCAACTCCCAGAATGTTGGCATGATGGCTGGGGAATTCTGGAAGTTGAAGTCCACACATCTGAAATTTACCAAGTTTGAGAAACCCCACTTTAGAGGAAAAGAAGAGCACATCCACTTTCGCTGTAATGCTGTAGTTTTCCCCCCACGTGGGACTCTGCAGATGTCTAGATTTGCATTTTGTTTTACCCTTAACCACCACAGTCATGCTGTTGGGATGATGTGAGTTTTAAGGCTGCACTGTTATTTATTATTATTTTTTGAAAGTATCAGTGGGATTTTTTTTTTTTAATCCAGTAAGGCCTTGAATTAAAACAAACCACATTGTAGTACAGTGAAATCACTACAAAATAACAGCAGGACTAAGCTGTTGTTTCATAACCAAGTAATATTAAAATCATCAGAGATGATGAAAAGCTCTACAAACTAACCACCACAGTATTTCTAAAATGTGAGGAATGACAATATCCACACAGTCTCTTCTGGAAGGAGATCCAGAGTGATGGCTCTATGGAGGAAAAAAATCCCTCCAAAGTAGCCTCTTGGTGGAGGGAATGAGTAGAGATGTGAAGAAAAACAGATGTTGCCTTAACCTCCTAGCTCTGCATTTCTGAAATAGTGTGGTCCTATGTATATTTACTTAGAATTACATCCCACTCTTTCAGGGAGATTTATTCCCTAAAAACTATTTGGACATAAAACTAAGAGAGTAAAAGATTTGGTCTCTAGATTGGAGCAGAGAATACATTTTTAGTGACTGTTATCAAATGTGAACAGAGAAGGAGTTTTGAAACTGAAATAAAAAGGGTAACCCCAGGAGTGTTGGAGACGTGAGGAAAGGCAGTATTTTGAGTTTCGGTTCTAAGATCTTTTTTTTCCTTCGTATTGTTTTTGTAATAATAAGGGAGACTTTTAAATCTCCACCACTTTTTTTTTTTTTGATCCGCCTTTGGAACTGGAATTCCTGAAGAATGAACATTCTTTTGGAAATAACTTCAGAATAAAGAGCTTTCTACAATTAGTGCCTTGTGTGCAGTTTCTGAAGACCAACTTCAGGCTGTGGCCCTTGCAGAAAGGAACAAGATGATGCTTTGGAATGGTTCATAAACTCAAGAATACCTTTATTCCAAGCTGTGCTTTTTTGTACCAATTCTGCATTTTCTATTGGCACTCATTTGATTTGTTGAAAGAGAGTTTGCTTTTTTGCAGAGAAATTCTCGGATTTGAAGTGTGTTCCTGCAGTCATTGACTGTATTTAACCTATTAAGCATTTAACCTGGTTACTGACTTAACTCATTTGGGGAGTTTGCACAATACAATGAATCCTAATCCTGACAAACAGCTCCGGTTTGCATAAGAACTGATCTGTAATCCGTAATTCCAAATCCTTTTTTTTTGAAGTACTCCTGTGTTCCTAAGGATGCTTAGAGAGGTTATTTATGCACAAGATTCCTTGGACTAGTATTGTCCTGCACTGGAACATCCATAATTTGTAGAAAAATGTCACTCAAAGTGGAAATCATGAGATTATAACTTAATATTTCTAGAGGACACCAAGTTAAGAAAAAATCTCAAAATGTATTTACCTCATACAATAGTTCATAAACCGCCATTAGAGGGAGCTCAAGATTTTCAAAAGAAACTGCTTTAGCCTCACAATTTTAGGCAGTCATACAGTAGTTTAATATTACTTTTTAAACTATTCCCTACTCTTCCTTTCAACACAGCAACCTTTACAACAGCAATAAGATAGGTAAATGTCAGGTAAAATGCTAGAAACTGTATCGTTAAACATTCCATTATAGCATTAAAATGACACTGGATGCAGAGTTGTTACAGTCCATTGAGGCAATCTAGTTCCTGGTGGCTAAGGATTTATGTCCCTGCATAATTGATTTTCAGAAGTGGTTTCCTACTGCCTTCTTAAGGCTGAGAGAAAATGATTGGACTGGACCAAGATCATTGACAGGACTAGCACTCAAAATCTCCAGGCTCCTGATGCAGCAACTTCATGCATTACTACAGTACATCATACTCAGACAACATACCTAAATCCTTAACCTAAAAAATGCTAAATTAAAAAATACTTTAAAATATGTTTGAATTATAACAAATTAAAATTTGTTTAATTTAATTGTAATTAAGTAATAAGGAAAAAAGTTTTAATTATTTGGCTGAGCCAAAAGTCAGAAAACCCTGCCTCCTAGCCATATATGTTAAGCTGTACAGAATAAGTATGTCCTGAAGTAAACTGAATTCTAGCCAAGACATTTCTATCATTAGTATGACTAGATTCACACATGATAAAGCATCTAAACCTTGGTTTATTGACTGTCAAAACTGGTTGGGTTAACGTTACATTTAGCTCTAAATCACAGTTTATTTAGTGGCACTACTGGGTTCACAAAGCCCATTTAAATCAAAATCATAGGGCTTCATATACAATATGTGATATAGCAAAGACACATGTCCTAAGGCTGGATGAATTTTGATGACCTTGAAATACAATTTCCTATTCCAATCTTCCTAACCGGGCCCTTGTCCAAACCAGATTTTACCACATCCTGGCAGAGCATGATAGGCTTTATAATCTCATATACTTAGAAGCATTGAGTTAGAGAAAGCTGTGCTATTTCATTGCCTGTTGTAAGTCAATGTGTATTAAATACTACTAAACATATTCTAAATGTACCAATCTATAGTAAAATCCAGCTATTATTCAAGGTAACTTGAAATATTTATTCATTCAATTTCTATAGCAGTCTAACTCAACCAAGTAACACTGGGCAGCTTACAATTTTAGAAATTAGCAAAAACTACTGATTATCATTGGTCTACAATAACACTAATTAAAAATCTGTCTCTCTGCTGAAATGAAAACTTGGAATAAAGAGGAGAAATCAGAGTAGGATTTTTATATAGAGAGATTAATAACATTTGGCATTTATTTTATTTATATTTATAGTATGTATTTTTAGATTGCCTATGTCCCTCAAGGACGGGGTCTGGGATGTACAGTATAATATTAGCATATAAAACAAAATATGAGTATTCTTTGACCTTTAATTATGTCAGCCACATTGAGTCATTACATAAACACCTGGTTTCAGTTGCTAAATCTCAAAGAGATTTATTCAAGCCAGAGTAAATTGAGAAGACTGCAATTTGTCCATTCTTGTTTTAAAGGAAGCATGAAAAAAAAAATCGTATGGCTGGAAAAGGCCTCTTCTTTTCACCCACCCCTTTCTCACTTTCTGTACCAAACCAAGTTGCCTCTTTAAAAATAATAACAAAACATTGAAGGGAAAGGATGGGATTTCTAGCAGATTCTCTTCTAGTTTGCATTTTGATGGAATTTTCTTCTGCAGTACTTTTTACATTACTTAACACTTTGATCATTTTTTTCCTCACAATTACTCAGTTATTGTAATTTATCAGTCAAAGAATTATTGCAGAAGCAGTGTTGAGTCACATCACAATCTGATTTCAGCAAGCAAAAATCTGGCACAGAATACCATGGGCCTCTACAATTAGCATAGAATTCAATTAATTGCTGATTTATATTTAGTAGCAATGATTACAGAAAGACGATTTAACAGCTAAACATGATGCAGCTTGTCATGTTCAGCAAGCTTCCAGCAATTTCTTTAGGGAATTTTTTTTTTTGACTTTCCCATGAAACAACTAAATAAAGAAATGTAATACAAACATGTAGCTGAAAAGTAAAGATGTTTTCAGCAAGATAAATGTTTTGTGCAGACATCAACTGTAACCTGTTGTTAACAGCAAGCATATGTAGCTGCTTCAGCAAAATTAATGAAAGCAAAATTCTAAAGCCAAGTGTTTATGATGATTACTAATTCATTTTAAACTGGATGTATTGCAAAGTAATAGTTTTATAGACTGAATTCTTCTAGCATCATGATTTGCAAGTAGTTGCAACAGTTCATGAAAACAGACCTTGTCAATCAGATCCTAATTTTTTCAGCCTCCACACTGAGCAATTATTGTTCAAAGGTCAACGTACAAATTACAAGTAACCATGAAGTGTTTTTTTTTCCCCTAACTTCATTAGAAATATACAAAATGACTTGGTTCATCTAACTTATTGCCCAACTAGGCAAACACATCTTGGGGAACAGATAAGCACTTAATGGTCACGATTGATCCTTTTCCTAATCCCAATCATTTTTGCAAACATCATCCTTGCTAGCACTGCATAATAACTCCTTCCTCCCCAAAATGCTAGTTTGTTGGCCTATGACATTGTAGTCCCAGAAATATTTTTATCCCAGGAACACTGGATTTGTTGGCAAGACAAGCAATATTTTGCATGAGCAAAACAAGCAATTCTCAAGTCTACACATAACATTTGTACTCAACAAGAAGAAATTTTAAATCAGTTTATCTACTTCTCGCTTCTTCCCTTCTCTATAATTCCGTTTAACAGTTACAGCAGATCAAGGTGGGGTTAGTTTACAGTAGTAAACCTCAGCAACTTCCAACCTCAGCAATGTTAAAATGTGTGGATTTTAACTCCCAGCATTCCCCAGCCAGCCATAAAGTCCTCACATCTTAAAGTTGTTAAGGTTCAGAAATACTGCTTTATTCAAAATCTGTGCAACATGACAGAATGGTTAATCAAAAGTCCTGATTAAATACCTCATCAATATCAGAACTTAATAATCGCCACATAATTGAGTAAATATAACCATATTGTTTGCCATAACAGTTTAACCAACAGCTCCAGAATCTTATCACTGCAAAATAAAATCTTATTAAAATCCTCAAACATGATTTATTTTTGCATATTTAATATCAAATGCTTAAATGAACAGAACTGCTCCCACCTTTCTTTACCACAGTACATGTTTTCATGGCTAGGAGAGAAAACATTAACAATGTGTGGCAATGAATTTTGGCTCAGATTACACCCTTTTGTGTACTGGATGACTTCACCCAGTCATCCAAACCTATAATTCTCTTCCTGAGAAGGAAAGTGACTGGAATTAATTGAGATGTGAAAGGAAAAGGATTGTGAAGGATTATTCTTGGAAACATCACCGTTGCTAGTATTCCATAATGCCATGCAGCAAATGCTACTTTGATGGACCAGGATATCAAACCTTCATAACCATCTGTCCCTGTGAAGGAATTCACAATCTGGGGTCCAGCTGGCATCCATTTTCAAGAGGATCTAACTGATGTTATATATTTACAGTATTTAACTAGCTTGTTGGATGTCTCAATTACAGAAGTCGTTCTCTGCAACTTACACATTTTAATTAAAAAAATAAACAAAATAAGAACATAGTGAGAACCCCAGTAATCATTTTATCCACCAAATACAGGTAGTCCTCAACTTGCAATAGTTCACATAGTGACTGTTCAAAGTTACAATGGGACTGAAAACAGTGACTTATGACCGTTTTTCACATGACTGTTGTAGCAACCCCATGATCACATAGAAAAGTAGATGCTTTAATTACACCTTTTAAAACATCTTTAATATGTCATAACATTATGAGCTCCGGGAGATGAAGCGCCACAAGAGACGTCTAGAGCGACGTTGGAGGGCCAGTAACTCTGAATCTGACCGATCACTATTAAGAGCCTATCTTAGGACTTATTTAGTGGCGATAAGAGCGGCAAAGCGTGTTCACTTTTCCGCACATATTGCGTCCGCAGAATCTCGCCCGGCCGCCTTGTTTAGGGTGACCCGCTCCCTTCTTAAAGTGGAGGAGGCGGAGGAACCCTTGCAGGGGAGAGCTGAGGAGTTTGTTCAGTTTCTTTCGGAGTTGCCAGGGGCTGGTCTTAGTCATATTATCTGGAGCGAGTTTGAGCCTGTGACCCCTGATGAAGTGGACAAGGCCGTGAGGGCAATGAATGCCGCCACCTGTTTATTGGACCCGTGCCCCTCCTGGCTGGTTTCGGCCAGTAGGGAGGTGACACGAGGCTGGCTCCAGGCGATAATCAATGCTTCCTTGATGGAGGGGTCTTTCCCGCAACTTTTAAAGGAAGCGGTGGTGAGGACCCTCCTCAAGAAGCCTTCCCTGGACCCAGCTGTTTTGAAGAACTTTCGTCCCGTCTCCAACCTCCCCTTTGTGGGGAAGGTTGTAGAGAAGGTGGTGGCATCTCAACTCTTGCGATCCTTGGATGAAACTAATTATCTGGACCCTTTTCAATCTGGTTTCAGGCCCGGCTACAGCACTGAGACTGCTTTGGTCGCACTGACCGATGACCTCTGGCGAGCCCGGGATAGAGGTCATTCCTCTATCCTGGTGCTTCTTGACCTCTCAGCGGCTTTCGATACCATCGACCATGGTATCCTTCTGCGTCGTCTCGGAGAGGTGGGGGTGGGCAGCACCGTATTGCGGTGATTCTCCTCCTACCTCTCTGACAGGTCGCAGTCGGTGTTGGTGGGTGGACAGAGATCGACCCCTAGGCGCCTCGACCATGGGGTGCCTCAGGGCTCGGTCCTGTCCCCCCTCCTTTTTAACATCTACATGAAACCGCTGGGTGAGATCATTCGGCGACACGGGGTGAGGTATCATCAGTACGCGGATGATACCCAATTGTATATCTCCACCCCGTGTCCTTTCAGCGAAGCAGTCGACGTGATGTGCCGGTGCCTGGAAGATGTGAGGGTCTGGATGGGGGTGAACAGGCTTAGACTCAACCCTGACAAGACCGAGTGGCTCTGGGTCTTACCTTCCAAAGGCCAACTGGATGGTCCATCTTTAGTCCTGGGGGGGGGGGCAAATTTACCTCCCTCAGTGCAGGCACGCAACTTGGGTGTCCTCCTGGACTCACAGCTAAATCTGGAACAACATCTATCGGCTGTGGCCAGGGGGACCTTTGCACAGGTTCACCTAGTGCACCAGTTGTGGCCTTATTTGGACTGGGAGGCTTTACTCACAGTCACTCATGCCCTTGTCACCTCAAGACTGGATTACTGTAATACGCTCTACATGGGGCTACCCTTGAAGAGCGTTCGGAGGCTGCAGTTGGTTCAGAACGCAGCCGCGAGAGCGATTGTGGGCGCGCCAAGGTACGCCCATATGTCACCTATCCTCCGCGAGCTGCACTGGCTTCCTGTGGGTCTTCGGACGCAATTCAAGGTGTTGGTTATCACCTTTAAAGCCCTGCATGGCATAGAGCCAGGTTACTTACAGGACCGCATTCTGCCGCACAGCTCCCAGAGACCGGTGAGGTCCCATAGATTGGGCCTCCTTCAGGTCCCGTCGGCCAGACAATGTCGGCTGGCGGGCCCTCGGGGAAGGGCCTTTTCTGTGGTGGCTCCGACCTGGTGGAATCAGCTTCCCCCCGAGGTTCGAACTACTCCCACCCTGCCGGCCTTTAAGAAGGCCGTTAAAACCCTCCTGTTCCGGCAGGCCTGGGGCTGATGTCCCCGGGGGGCCGGGATATGATCGGACTCGCGGTATGACTGCTTTATTTTATTGTTTTATCATTGTTTTAACTTTGTACGCCGCCCTGAGTCCTTTGGGATTGGGCGGCATATAAATACTGAAAATAAATAAATAAATAAATAGTTTCAGCCTCAGTCAAACTAAAATTTGAATAAAGGCTTCTTTTCCAGGACCAGGTTCATTTAAAGATAGAAATTAATTATTGAAGAACTTTTCTAAGTACAGGTAATCCTTGACTTACAACAGTTCATTTAATGACTGTTCGAAGTGACAACAGCACTAAGAAAAGCGACTTATGACCATTTTTCATACTTAGGACTATTACAGAATTCCCATGGTCATGTGATCAAAATTCAGATGCTTAGCAACTGACTCATATTTATGACGATTACAGAGTCCCAGGGTCACATAATCATTTTTGCAACCTCCTGACAAGCAAGTCAATGGAGAGACCAAATTCACTTAAAAACCGTATTATACCAACTTAACAGCTGCAGTGATTCACTTAAAAACTACAGCAAGAAAGGACATAAAATAGAGCAAAACTAACTTAACAACTGTCTTGCTTAGCAGCAGAAATTTGGAGCTCAATTGTGGTCATAACTGAGGATTACTTGTATCTAGACCAGTGGTAGGCAACTTTGGCTCTTTTATGATTCGTGGACTTCAACTCCCAGAATTCCTGAGCCAGCCGGCTGAGGGGAAAGAGAGAGGTTTCCAAGCTGAGCCACGCTGGCTCAGGAATTCTGGGAGTTGAAGTCCACGAGTCATAAAAGAGCCAAGTTTGCCTACCGCTGACCTAGACATTTCTTACTGTGACTCAGCAAATGTTCTGTCAGATCTTTACTTAATACCATCTGAGTCACTTTAAAAAGGATACTTAATGAATACAGTGAGCTGAGAAATATTTCATTTTACAACTTTTATGCACACATATTGAATATGTCCAGGGGTCACCCAGAATTTTGCAGCACATACACTATATGGAAAGCCAATACCCAGGACCGTCAACCAGAAAGGCAACCAAACTGGCTGAAAATTTCAGAATTCCTTGGTCCAATGCATTTGGAGATCACCATTTCTGACAGTTAATTATGGTTATGCTTTGCAGATATTTTCACACCAGCAACTCTCCAGGCATGTCTCCTGCCTGTTTAGGAAAGTGAGGCTGGAATGGAATTCTCTACTTTTTCTATAGAACAAACATGGATGCAACCATTTTTGCCCCTTAATTTCCAGTTCAAGTATCTATTTACCCAGTAAGGACATTTTCCACAAACTATTCTCAGTTTATAGGCTTAGGTGTCTCCTAATTTATGCTTTAAAGGTAAAACCAGGATACAATACCGTCCTTGATCTTTTAAAATATATAATTTATTTGTGGAGACCAAAGCCAAGAATCTTATTTCCAGGATCTTTAGCTTTCTATCTTCAAGCCCCAGTTATTCCCTCCCAAACACAGATTAGGCCAATCTATAGCTCCAAGAAGACATTTGAAAGCTTTGAATATGATTAAGAAAAAGTAAGTAAGATCTTGGAAATACTCAAACACAGAATCTCTTTGCCTTTCATTGGAGGAGCGAATATAGCTTTTAAAGAAACCAGAAGAAAGTGATTGCTTTGATGCAGAGCAGTTATTATCCTGGTGAAGTCAAAAGCCCTCCTTTCAAATAATTTTTGAAGGAAACATGGCCATACATGCCGAGTAGTGTAAACCAAAAGAACAGTTTTCTGCTCATGGAAGCAATTCTTTTTATACTGTTAGTTTAAACAGAGTAAATATAACCATAGTGTTTATCCATAATGTTTAATCCTAAGACGCAGTGCCGTATTATCCCATTACTGTAAAATGAAATCCTACTAAAATCTTCAAGCTTGATTTGGTTGTGCGCATAAGATTTTATTTTGTCTGTTTCGAAGAGTGCCAAATATGTTGAAACTGATTATGTACTGCATCCTGGTAGCCAATATAATGGATTTTTGTCTTATTTGTCATTCTCTCCCTGCTTTTTTTCCTTTCCAGACGACTGCTTTTTGTCATTGCACTTTAATTACCATCAAAATAAGATACAGGCAGTCCTCAATTTACAACTATTCATTTAGTGATATTTTGAAGTTACAATGGAGCTGAAAAAAAATGACTTATGACAGTTGTTCACACTTACGACCGTAGCAGCATCCCCATGGTCATGTGATCAAAATTCGGACACTTGGCAACTGGCATGTATTTATAAAGTGATTGCGGTATCCTGGGGTCTTGTGATCACCTTTTGTAACTTCCTGATAAGCAAAGTTAATGGGGAAGCCAGATTCACTTAACAATTGCATTACTAACTTAACAACTGCAGTCACAATTGCGGTGATTCACTTAACAACTATCTCACTCAACAACAGACATTTTGAGCTGAATTGTAGTCATAAGTTGAGAACTACCTGTAAAGGGATTCTATGGGTCCGGTACCCTCCAAAAAGTTTGTGAGTGAATCTCCCCACCTCTTACATTTGGCTATTTGGTTAAAGTTTAAACATACTATGACTATGTGACCCAACTCCATGTTTCTTTTTTATAGGTTAGCCATATAATAGCTCATTTTATTGTGCTTTGCAAATATTGTGTTTTTTACAAGACCTTCCATCAGCAAAAAGGTTATCACTCACTGAAGGCTCAGATGATGTTTAGCCTTTTTAGCAATAAAGTAGTTTTAATTAAGGTATGTACTGTACATTGGGTTGTTTTTTTTTTACACAAAATGCTATTGCATTCTTAATAGACTACAGTGTGATATAAATATACCGGTTATATGTACTGGGAGAAAAAATAATTCATTGGGAAACAAAAAAAAAATGTGACTCACTTATCTGCATTATTTACTTTATCATGGTGGTCTGGAACTGAACTCCAATATTTCTAAGGTATATCTGTAGTTAAATAATACAAATTAATAGTACCTAATTTTACAATATAAATCCTGCAATAAAAAGTGTTCTTACCGTGACGACAATATTCCAATATTTTAGATACCAGAACAATTTTCTACTAACAAGAAGATTCAGGGACCTGTGGTGTTCTTGGAACAGCTAGTTGTTTATTAATATACAGGTTGAACAGGTTTATTCAATGCATGTATCAAAGAAAGTCAAAAAAGTTAATGTTTTCCTAAGATTGTCTTAGCCTTTGAGTGTCTGGCTATGCTCGATAGGAGTAAATCCAAGTACTTGCCTTCACTTCTCTAAGTCCTTTCTTTGAAATTTAGAAAAAAAAAAAATCAATGGAAGTGGACTATATATGGGACCAAGAACCAAATCTGAATTCCAGTCAAAATTCATCAAAGAAAACGATTTCATTTTAATGCTAGAGTTCTGCCTTCCAATATACTGATAAATAATTGCCCTCCAATAATTAAGTAATAAGCATCTAAGCTTCTGATTGTGTGATGTACTTTTTCTATGCAAAGTTGCAAATCCAAATCTACAAAATCATAATGATGACATTTGGGGTTTTGAGCAAGTTACTTAAATAAACTGCTTTGTTAATCAAGGTCCAGAAAACATTGCTTGAAGGCAGGAATGCAGGGGAGTGTCTTCCTCCTAGGTAAAGGGAAGAGGGGGTTTAGAAGACTGAGCTGGACTTAATCAGGATAGTATATAATTTAAAACTTTACAAAGCCGGTATTAATGGCATATCTTTGAGAGGAAAAATAAGTTCAGACAAGTTTAAATGCCAGCAACTTTTTTTAAAAAAAGAGTTTGATTACTACCCAACCCGATATCAAAGATTGTGCCAAGCATTGCAAAACATGTATTTCACAAGGCAAGGCCCTCCCTATTTGGCTGGAACAGAAAGATTGAATTCCATTCCTCTTAAATACTCAACAATCAGTACAGGCTAAAGCTTCTCTGCTGCTCCACTTATTTGCTTCTGCTCCAGTTCCCAAGCCAGAACCCACCAGGAGGCCAGACAGCTCCATCCAAACCAGGGTAAGTATTCCAGACAGCTGAGACGCTTCCTGCTTAGCTGCATTTTGCAAAAGGAAGGAGGAATATGGGTTATGTAAAAAGTTTTGAACCAGGACTTGTGGATTCCTTGTGAAGGGGCTGCCTTAAGACCCAATATCTGTGGATACAAATTGATGAGTATTGTTGTTTTCTTTTAAAGGAGGGACAAGCATGTGAAGAGTAAAGCTGCTTTGATTATCTCTTGAACAATTTTTTTCACATCTTCCATGACTCTGTTAAGGGTAAATAGATGCCAAACTAGTAGTTTCTAAGGAAAACATTTAAAAATATGGCATATTTGGACAACAAGGTTAGAGGTGTGCTTTCTTTTTTTTCTATTCCTTCTCCATGTCTTCCCCACTATCTATCTCCTCCAGCTGACTTTTCAATCCTGTGTCCAGGGTGACAGGACTATCTTTATATGTCAGATGTTCTCAAACATTTGGGGGTGCTACTATCAGCTGCCACTCTCATTAGATTCTGAATCCAGGATAGCTGCTGGGTTGGGTTGCAAATCTCTTGACTCTGGGCAAAAAGAGTTGTGTTTCCTTCCCTTGCCATCCTCCCCTTTAATCCCTTTACAGCCAAAATGAAGCCAGAACAAGAAGAGGCGCGGCCTCCATTGGTCCCTGTTAAGGGGATCCCCATGATAAAATATTTTGCAGAAGTCTACGATGAAGTGGAAAGATTTCAAGCACATCCAGATGATTTACTGATTTCTACGTACCCCAAGTCTGGTAAGTGATGCCTTTGGCTGCATTTTCATAAACGGAGAATAGAAATTCTGGGCATTCATGTGTGGAAAATTTCTAACTCTCTACTTTCCCTTTGTTCTATTAACACACAAGATAATACATGCCAGGCAGCTGGAAAGCAACTTTTTCTTTGAGAGGCTGTTTATATATGCCTGAATAAAGAACTATCTCCTTATGTTACATCTGATCTTTATCCTAATGATTTATTGCCCGTAATTTTGCATCATGAAGATATTTTTCTTTCTACTAATTTTCTTTTTTGTAAAAACATATTCTGTCTTGTTTCCTGAATTATAGCAAACTCTTAACAGTTTGCTAAGCGTTAGATTTTACAAGAAGACATATCCATGTTGCTTGAAAAGATTCATCACTACACTGTAGTATAATAAATGGATGCTGTTCCAACTTTCTGTTTTTCCTAGTTTATTTTGCAAAGAAAAGTGATACGAAGAATGTTAGATAAAAAAGGAGACTGTCCATAGGCACATATTCTCAGTGAAAGTTCAGAAATGGAACAATTAAATTTCACATTGAAAACCTCATCTGCAAATATGCATAAGCCAGAGTCCAATTTTCTTGTTAATGTTTTTTATCTTTTAATTCTTGAATTTTAAATCTCCTTGGCCTCGTTTACTGTTAATCAGATCAAAGTGCATTCAACATAGCCAACCTGCAATTTAATATAAAACAAAACTATTTTATGATATATTATGAAGGTAATTTCATCTGTCACTTAAAATACATTTTTGCTAAAAGATAAGGTGACCAATCGTCCTCCTTTTGTGAGTTATGTCCTCCCTCGAAAAGTGTCCTCCTACATGTCCTCCTTTTCGATATTTGAAGACTAATCTGCAGGGCTTTTTTTTTCTCATAGAACGCTCAGAATGGCGTTTCAACACCTTTTTTAATGTTTTTTTTTCAACTTTTGCATGAGCTGTGCTACTCCCCCTGTTGGCTTTCGAAAGCCAATAGGAATTGCTGCTGAGCGCAATTTTATTTACAATATTTTTTCTTCAATTTATTTGTGTACTCCTTTTCATTGTAAAAAAGTTGGTCACCTTATAAAAGAGACACAATCAGCATGAAATTGCAGGCAAGACTGCATAGCAAAACACCTCTGGATAACTGCCAAATATTTATTAGCAGAACTCTCATTTGATAAGAAAAGTGAGTGAAATGTTTCATTTGATAGGCTGTTGTTAGCTATTGGAGGCTGCCCTTTTAAATGGTGTGTATGAGGGAGAACTGAGTGTTTAATATGCATTCTAACACTGCCTGTTTGTCCATCCCCCCTTCTAAGTTTCTTTCCTGTGCATGGGGCATAAAAATCACATTTCTAATAGGAGGAAAGCTGCTTCTGCTCATGACTGTCCAGAGAAGCAGATAGTCCTAGAGCAGGGGTAGTCAACCTTGGCTCTTTTATGACTCGTGGACTTCAACTCCCAGAATTCCTGAGCCAGCTAAGGACTACCCCTGTCCTAGAGGGATGATCCAGCCACCTGTTCTCTTCCCTAGCTTCAATTCTTCACTGAAAAATATATTTTCCAAAGGCATTTTTCATTTTCCATTTTCATTCTGTCATTGTTGGCACTTTTATAGGTCACTTTCTTTACAACTCAGGAAACTCATTAGGATATTTCCCCAGCTTTATCAACATCATCCCTTCTTTGCCCCAAGGAAAATCTTAGGTTTTAGATTTTTCTTCTGCTCAGGCCAGAATTTGGGAGAACAAGCAGCCAAGATTACTCTAGCTGTACTAAGGACAGATGCAAAGTGGAACAGCCAGTTTTAAACATAACTGTAATAATTTGTTTAAACTGATAAAAACTTTCCTAATATGTTAAACTGGCCGATTAAACCAATAACACTTTTCCTCAAACATTAAATGAGATACACTTGTTATCTTAATATGTCATGAATTGGAATGTGGAAATAAATTTTATCATTATTTAAAATGAGGCAATCTGAATATTCGGTCTTCCACCTCACAAAACTGGAGTAGGGCAAGCTCTAGTTTTGAAGGTGAAAGATAGAATGTGCACATGGAGAATCAATGGATATGCATTTTGGTAAAGCAGAGCTTTCCCAGACAAAGACCCAGATTAAGAGACTGCACAGGCTCTTAATCTGGGCTTTTCTGGGCCTCTCTAGGAGTGACATGATAGCAGTGTTTCAATATTTGAGGGGCTGCCACAAAGAAGGCACCAGAAAGTGCTAGAAGACAAGAAACAATGGACGGAAATTAATCAAGAAGAGAAGCAACCTAGAATTAAGAAGAAACTTCCTAACAGTGAGAACAATCAACCAGTGGAACAGCTTGCCTTCATTACTGGAGGCTTTTAAGAAGAGACTGGATAGCCACTTGTCTAGAATGGTATGGGGTCTCCTGCCTGAGCAAGAGATTGGACTACAAGATCTCCAAGGTCCTTTTCCATTCTGTTATTTCATTATTCTGTTATTCAGTCCCAAAATGGATTAGGATGGGGGGAAGATGTTCAGGATAGCCACACACTAAAATTTTTCAGGATAGATATAGTAAGTTAGAAAGTTATTGCTTTAGTTTGACAAGATTCTGCCCATTAGCTGTAAGCAAATACAGGATTGGACCCAATTGGATTTCACATGGTGGTCTTTAGGCTTGAGCCTGACAATAATAAACTCTTTTCTTTCTGTTGAACTGAACTCCTATCTGCCATCCTTGACTTGGAAGAAAACTGAATCAGCGTGAAGTTTGCTCTGCCTGGTGACCAATCTCTATCCTCTATTGCTTTTGTTTCATCTCATTTGCAAACATAACAGATTTGTAAGAAGAGAGTCAGGTTAACCTGTGGTAGCAAAAAATGTATTTTACTTCTCCACTTGTAACACTGGAAGTGAAGTTTGGTGATCACTAAAGGGCAGGATTAGAGAAGCATTTAGGGGCCATCTTAGATGGATAGGGATATTCTGCCACTCCTGACTGGCACTTGGAACAGAAAACTTTGTCCCAATATAATTTTATGACAATTCAAGAATGAAGTGTTGAGTGGAAAAACACCCTCAGGAAATAAAGTGGATATAGAAAGTCTATGCACCCCTGTTAAAATGCCAGGTTTTAAGATATAAAAAAATCAGACCAAGATAAATCACTTTGTAAGTTTTACTACCTTTAATATAACATACAGATAGTCCTCAACTAATGAACATAATGGAGCCCAAAATTTCCGTTGCTAAGCAAGACAATTGTTTAGCAAGTGCTCCATTTTATGATCTTTCTTGCTTTTTGTTTTCAATGACTTTTGTTTCTTCCCCTCCCTTTCTTCACACTTGTTTTGTTTTCCCTTTCTCTACTGTTGTCCCCTACTATTTACTTTTATAAAATTTTCACATTTTATGTTATAAATGAATAAAAGTAATAATAATAATAATAATAATAATAATAATAATAATAAAAAAGATTGTGGGGGCATTTCCTGTGTACAGCTCTCTTCAGGTCACTTCACAGATTTTCAATTGGATTCCAGTCTGGGCCATTCCAAAATTTTGAGCTTCTCCTGGTGAAGCTATTTTGTTGATTTGAAGGTATGGTATGTCATACTGAAAGATGAAATTCCTTTTCATTTTTTGCATTTTAGCAGAGGTCTGAAGGTTAAGTGCCAAAACTGACCGATATTTGGAACCATTCATAATTTCCTGCACCTTGATTAAAGCTCCAATTTCAGCTGAAGAAAAGCAATCCCAAAGCATAACGCTGCCACCACCATGCATCACTGTGGGTATGGTGTATTTCTGATGATGCACAGTGTTATCTTTGCACCAACCATACTTTTTGGAATTACAGTATAACCAAAAGTTCTATCTTGGTCTCATCAGACCATAACATATTTTCCGACATGCTTTTGTCAGACTTGATGTTCATTTCTACAAAATGTACGAAGGCTTGGATGTTTTCCTTCTGTCTTGCCACCCTACCCCCAGCCCAGACATATGAAGAATATGGGAGATCTTTGTCACAAGTAGTACATAACCAATACTTGCCATACTTCCTGCAAGTTCCTTGTTGTAGGCCTCTTAGCAGCCTCTTGAACCAGTTTTCTTCTTAATTTTTCATCAATTTGGAGAGGCATCCAGTTCTTAGTAATGTCACTGTTGTGCCATTTTTTCCACTTGCTGATGACTGTCTTCATTTTGTTTTGTACAAAAAAATTCCAGTGCACTATGTTCCATAGTTTATCCAATGCTTTGGAAAAAATTTTGTACTCTAGTCCTGACTGATACCTTCCAACAATTAGATCTTTTTAATGCTTTAAAGGCTCTTTGCAGACCTTAGCTTTTGCTGTAAAAGGCACTGAGCATATTTCAGCACATATGGGCTTGATCAGAGTCACTTTAATTGATGGCAGATTTGTACTGACTACTATTTGACATAGTTTGAATATGATTGGTTAATTCTGAACATAACCACATCCTTACTCATAAGAGGGTTTGAACACTTATACAGCCACATTATTCTAAGTTTTTATTTATTTTTTCCCCTGAAAGATTTCAGCTTGTTTTTCAATTGAATTGTACAGCTTATGTATTATATTAAAGATGGAAAACTTCTGAATTGATTTATCTTAGTCTGATTTTTTTTACATCTCAAAAACCTGGCATTAGAAAGGTGTGTGTGTAGACTTTCTATAGCCATTGTATACTTGTAGCAACTAGCAAGAAGAATCAAGTTTTGTTTTAGGCACTAACTTGTTTTCTTCATGTAATATGATATTGGTTCAGCATATCCAACCTTCTTGTGCTCTTTCAGGTACCACCTGGATCAGTGAGATTGTAGACATGATCTACAAAGAAGGCAGTGTGGAAAAATGCAGAGTTCAACCCATCTACATGCGAGTCCCTTTCTTGGAATTTGCTGTACCTGATGTCCCTACAGGTAAAACATCCTAGATGTCTTCCTTTCCAGACAGCAGTTTGGGAGGAGAGGGATGGAGGTAGAAGTCCAGTCTATGTGGTGAATGTGGGGGAAGGAATGGAGAACCTGGGGGCAGACTCAATAGAGCAGGGCTTTTCAACCTTTTCACCCATTGTACCACTTTTATGATATGGCAACATCTGAGTACCACCAGTCACCTAGCAAGGTGTCAAAAACTTGATGACCAAAAAAAAAAAGGAAAAAAGTGATGAAGTACAGGTAGTCCTCGACTTACAACGGTTCACTTAGTGACTGTTTGAAGTTACAATGGCACTGAAAAAGTGCCCCCCAAACCATAGCCGAGCAAGACACCTGCCTGCCCATCCGGCTGCACTCTTCCTCCTGTCTGAGGTTTTCATTGTTGCAAGCATTTCTGTTGAGGATTGGCAGCGGGGGTGGGGTGGGGGATGTTTGGTTTTTATTCCCCCCGTCTGCTGGGTGGTTGCAGCAAGTTTTGGTCAGTTCACATGACTCTGGGATACTGTGGCCGTCATAAATATGAATCAGTTGCCAAGCATCTGAATATAAATCTCAAGACCCTGGAGAGGCTGCAACATTCCAGCTGATCGGCACTTCTTCTGGGATCAGCAGAAGTGCCAGGATCAGCACCAAGCTCCAGCCGGAACCTGGCGCTGATCCTGGCACTTCCACTGGGCCCTGACAGCCCCAAAGAAGACAGATCAGCTGGAAAGTGGCACTGATCCTGGTGCTTCCGCTGAGCCCTGACAGCCCCGAAGAAGCGCCGATCAGCTGGAAAGCGACACTGATCCTGGTGATTCTGCTGAGCTCTGACAGCCCTGCAGCTCCAGCCATCTCTTGCTTAGGCTTGTGAAGTGCTGCCACCGGTTCAGCTCATTCCCCTCCCCCACTACCACTTTTCTAAGATGGTCACGTACCACCTGCCAGATGCCAATGTACCACATGTGGTACCTGTACCACTGGTTGAAAAGCCTTGTAATAGAGGTATCAGCTTACAGTTTCTGCATAGCCACAAATAGATTAAGTCTAACCTTTTGTGGACCTTTATCTAGTGCCATTATAGTGCTAACTGTTACTTGAGTAGATTCCTTTGCATAGGTATGAGTAATAAATCAGTTTAATTGGAACTTCACATGTGGCCCTGGTCTTTTGCACCTGACATTGGAATAGAAATGCCAACTGTGAAGATACCATATATATCTGTGAAGATAACCATATAATATGGTAGATTTGCCTGCAGACATCTCCATAACTTTTCCTAATGTTAGTTGAGAAATCTGCAAGCAAATTTGCCAGAATGTATCTGGTATGGATAGGCTAATGGAAAGGGAAGGGAGTATGGGAGAAGTCTCTTCAATTATTCTTTTTCCCCTTCCAGGCATTGAGCTGCTCAAGGAAGTACCCCGTCCATGTCTAATTAAAACCCACCTTCCTGTCCAAATGCTCCCCAAATCCCTCTTGGAAAAGAATTGCAAGGTGAGAAAAAAATGTGACCATTAATGCATGAAGAACTGGTCAATTGAATGCAAGAACATATTGGATAAAGATTTTCCACAAATCATTACACATCATGACTTCAGAAATGAAATACATCATCGGCTTAATTAAGTTTCTTGTTTGTCACTCAACAGATTATCTATGTGGCCAGAAATGCCAAAGATGTGGCTGTCTCATACTATTACTTCTACCAAATGGCAAAAGTGCACCCAAACCCTGGAACTTGGGAGGAATTTCTGGAGAAGTTTATGGACGGGAGTGGTAAGTGGATAATAAACCCTTCCAAGTATTGAGCTTGATGTTAGCCCTTCTTGATATGGTAACTTCAAAATATGAGACTGATCCTGTTACCTCCAGCTAGCAAAGCAATGGGGTGGCTGGGCACCATTTTGGGGGAAGCCTCTTAAGCCTTGTAGAAGTTCTTGGAATTAGTGAGATGTTTCACAGAAATTCTATAAATGGGAAGATCAGATCAGGCCTTCTTCTTGTTACCCTTTCTGTTTGAGTGGGTAGATATGTCCATGTAAATATATGGTTCTTCAGTTTGACTATCAACTTCTATTAGAGTTTCTAGTCCTGTTTCATACTCCTGATGACCAAACCAAAATAAGTAGTAAGGAAACTGTAGCTTTCTCCGTGTTGCACTAAAGTTCCCATCATTCAAAGCATTCTGTTTCTCTTCTCAGTGTCTTTTGGATCCTGGTATGATCATGTCAAAGATTGGTGGGACATCACGAAGAAATACAGGATTCTGTACCTCTTCTATGAAGACATGAAAGAGGCAAGATTCTTTCTGCTCCTTTTATTAACATTCTCTACTACTCTAATTTTCACTTCCCCACATTAAGAGTTAGGAATGGGGCATAGATCTCCTGTTCTACATGTTCTACATGGCCAATAGGGAGGAGTAGGGTGGGACTTTTGTAGCATCTCCAGGGCCAAAAATTCCCAATTCCTCAAACAGATCCCTTATTGTAGCATTCTGATTATAATTAGATACTCCTGAAAACTACAAGTAGGAGATGAAGAGGTCAAAACTGTTCCCATCTATTCAAACTTGTTTTCTTTTATTTCCATATACTTACTCTCTTTGTGTTTGTCCAGCAAGACATTTCTCAGGTTCTTTTCCTAATTATATATCTGTATATATCTGATAGGCCTGGAACTGGAGCTACATTTAGACATGCCTGAGAATTGACCCACAGAAACTAAGAGCCATGGCTTATTTCACTAATTTCAATAGGCCTTCTTTATCTAAATCAGAACCATCCCAAAGCTGAATAGAAGACAGTTATACCCATCTCTCTTCTCATTTTCTCCATGCTAATCATCTCCTCAGGAGAGCTTGGTTTTGCTTCCAGACTAAAATTTGGTTAGCCATACATGGCATTAGATAATACTGGCTGATAATGGAAACTCATGGCTAAAAATTGTGTGCACATGTATATAACTGCAAAACATCATAAGGAAATAAGAAGCATTCTTGCCTGGATTATAACTAGACAGCAGATAGGTAATAGCTGTGAAATTGCAAAGGATAGCTTATTTTAATTTATTTTATTTAATATAACACAATATACCACAGCATTCTTCCTAATCCAAAATTCCTGACTTTCAATGCTTGATTGTTGATTGTTGCTTTGTACATAGGATCCAGAACGGGAGATTCAGAAGGTAATGGAATTCCTAGAGAGGCCAGTTGATAAAAACTTAGTCAAGAAGATTGCACACCACACCTCCTTTAAAGAGATGAGCCAGAACCAAATGGCTAATTACAAAAGCATTCCCACTTCAGTTATGGATCACACCATCTCTCCTTTCATGAGAAAAGGTGAGCCTATCAAATAACCAAACTGGGATTGAATGGAGGGCGAGTTATATTTATAATCCGCATAAAGGGCTAAAAAAGTAGAGCTGCCTTATTGACCCTGACATGCTCCAAATGTTTTAGATTTTGCAGCCATCCGGATTACAGGTAGTCCTTACAATAGTTCGTTTAATGACAGTTCGAAGATGACAACACTGAGAAAAGTGCCTTATGACCATTTTTCACACTCATGACCATTGCAGCATCCCCATGGTCATGGGATCAACATTCAGACAATTGGCAACTGACTCATATTTATGACAATTGCAGTGTCCCAGGACCACGTGAGCACCTTTTGCGACCTTCTGACGAGCAAAGTCAATGGGGAAGCCAGATTCACTGAACAATCATGTGACTAACTTAACACCTGCAATGATTCACTTAACAACCCTGGCACGAAAGGTCATAAAATGGTAAAAAAACTCACTTAACCTACGTCTCACTTAGCAATGGAAATTTTGGGCTCAGTTGTGGTCTTAAGTCGAGGACTACCTGTACTAGCTCTGCTGGTCAGGGATTATAGAATTTGAAGTCAATCTTTCTACTCCTAATAAGAGCTTGAAGTACTTGAGAGAAAATGAGATGTGCAATAGTGGTGAATATCTGACGCTCGAGTGTAGGATGAGGGTGGAGGTTCGTTCTCCAAGCTTGTGGGTTGGTTTCTGAATGTTTCGTTACTAGGCTAGGTAACATCTTCAGCAGAGTTTAGGAGATGTCAGTGTCAGTGTTGTTCTGTTTAGAAGGGATTCAGGTGTGAATGTGTCAAGGAGGGTCTTGTGATGGGTCAGGTGTGAATCATCAGTGAGTGGCTTGTGATGTGATGGGGAGGTTACTGCAGGGTTAGAGATCAACAATAATTGTACCATGGGGATGTAATATTATTGTTGTAGGCAAATAGGCTGTTCTTTGTGATGGTACATATACAACCAAGCTGGGCATCTATAGATGTATGGGATTCAACTCCAAGACTTTCCAGAAAGAATGACCATGGTTGATAATGCAATGCAAGGGCTTAGGGAAGACTAACATGTGTCATTGTCAGAGAAGGTTCTAGCTGGGCTCTTGAAGTACTAAATGGCTCTCTTATTTTTTATCCTTTTCCTTGGGATTTCAGTGCTTCTACCAAAATCTCAAGTAGGAAACAGGCAAGTTAGATCTTGAGGTCTGACAATCCTAATCCACATGAAGAAAATATGGCTTGAGAAACTGAGATTACGTAATGGCATGTGGGGTAGATCTTGGGAAACGGGACAAAGGAATGCTATCAAGGGAATGTTGAAATAAGAGACAGCATAGCCTGCAGATGGAGAGTGGGAGGAAGAAAGAGGCTTAGAAGGAACCCTCACTAGTTTCTCAGGCTGTAAATGAGATGGCAGGAGAATTGTACTTTCAGACTTGCAAGATTCTTTTAATATAGCTTTACAATATAATTGAATTAGCTTATCTGGTCATATTTCTATCTGGTGTACCTGGTAAGGCTGATAGATGTCTCATGCATGCTTCCCTATTCTTCCAAATGTACAGTGTGTTGTACATTAGTCTTCCATTTCCCTCTGCCCATTTTCTCCCTAATTTTTCTCTCTAGAGAAAATAGATTCTGGAAGAAAAGAAACACACAACAAGCACTCCATGTTCTTTGAGAAGCATTTTTAGGAGCCTTCTATTTGGAAGCCTCTCAACAAAACAGAACTTATTTTACTCCTACAATAGTCCCCACTACATCACTGGAAAGTAGGGAGCACCCAGGTAGTCCTCGACTTACAAAAGTTCATTTAATGACCATTTGAAGTTATAATGGCACTGAAAAACAAGACTGACTGGGTTTTTCTTACACTTACACTTACAATCATTGCAGCATACCTCCATGATAATGTGATCAATATTCAGACCCTTGGCAATTGACACATTTATGATGATTGCTGTGTGCCGGGGTCACGTGATCCCCTTTTGTGACCTTCTGACAAGCAAAGTCAATGGGGAAGCCAGATTCATTTAACAACTGTGTTGTTAATTTAACAACTGCTGACATTCGCTTAACAGCTGTGGCAAGAAAGGTCATAAAGGTCATAAAATGGGGCAAAATTCACTGAAGAACAGAAATGTTAGACTCAATGTTGCCGTATGTTGAGTACTTAGAGCAGGGGTCCCCAACCCCAGGGCTGCATTTGGAACCAGGCTATAGAAGTGGCAGGTGAGCACATATGTGCATGCACACATTCCCCACTTGCTCCAGCAGCAGGTGAGCCCATACATGCACACTCCATTTGCGCAAGCAGCAGACACACATGCCCACCGCTCACACAAATGGAGCTGTGTGTGCGCAAGTGCGCATGCTTGTCAGCTACTCGTGCAGAACCATCCCGTCCCCCCCTTCTCCGCTGGTTGGAGAACTCTGACTTAGCACTTTAGAGTCTACCTTTCAGGTTAGAGGCAAAAAAGAAAGGACTGAATTGGAGAAACAAGCCTTACCCCAACTCCAGCTGTGTCCAAGGAAGTGGCCTTGACTACAAAGGAGACAGAAAGAGTAGATGAGAGAGAAGAAAAATTCTTATTACTTTTCCAGCCATCATATATTACACATTTTAGGCAATGATTAAATACACCTGTAACTCAGAAATTATCAACTTTTCCTGGTAATATGGGTGATCATATAATCAAAAAATCCCCCAGGTATACTTTAAATGCAGATAGAGATCTGCAACTGTCTCAAAAGGGTTCATCAAAAATCTCATGCAAACCTATAAAACCATCCCAAAGTTCATGAGAGACTACCAACGATTCAAGAGATGAGTTATTTCATGTGGGCATGGCCTTTTTGAGATCCAACAAATGCTTTACTGTGTATGCATCCCATGCTGGGATTCAACTCTACCTTACCTAGTTTTAAGTAAAGTTATGCTGCAATAGAAAATAATTTTTGTTGTTGTTGTTGTTAATTGCGAAGTCGTGTCCGACCCATCGCGACCCCATGGACAACGTTCCTCCAGGTCTTCCTGTCCTCTACCATCTTCTGGAGTCCATTTAAGTTCTCACCTACTGCTTCAGTGACTCCATCCAGCCATCTCATTCTCTGTCGTCCCCTTCTTCTATTGCCCTCAATCTTTCCCAGCATTAGGCCCTTCTCCAGTGAGTCCTTCCTTCTCATTAGGTGGCCAAAGTATTTGAGTTTCAACTTCAGGATCTGGCCTTCTAAAGAGCAGTCAGGGTAGATCTCTTCTAGGACTGACCGGTTTGAACGCCTTGCAGTCCAAGGGACTCGCAGGAGTCTTCTCCAGCACCATAGTTCAAAGGCCTCAATTCTTTGGCGCTCAGCCTTTCTTATGGTCCAATTAGAAAATAATATATGTTACCTAATTGGGTAATGAAATATCTGTAAGCGAACAACCAAGCTTAGAGAACACCAAGGACTCCATAGTTCAACCTTGAGCTGCATATATTGTCTTCTCTTGCAAAATAATGACATATAAAATGTTACCTATTTGGGTAATGAAATGTCTGCAAGCAACCACCAGGCTCAGAGAACACCAAGGAAACTAATGTTGGCTATTATTTTCCCTTCAATTTAGGAGTTGCTGGTGACTGGAAGAACCAATTCACAGTGGCACAAAATGAGCGTTTTGATGAGAATTACAAGATGCAAATGAAAGGAACTACACTGCAGTTTCGAACAGAGATATAATTGTCCTTTTTCTACTTGGGTATGCATTTTTTCACCCATATTAAAATAACCCAACACATTCTATAGAAATGTTCTATGTGTCCCGACTATATGTCAGTACACTGCATATATCTCTTGGGGTGTGTGATGGTCCAACAGTATATGGGCTGTCAAGTACACATAGCAGACTTGCAATAATTTTAGCTCCTCATGTGGTATTCTGGCCAAAATGTGCCTAAACTAACCATTACTGTATTTCCTATGAGCAGGAAATGTGGCACAGGTACACACCCAAGGGGGATAACCCTAATATCGGTTTCTCTCTTAGTAAAACACATTAAGTGAAAATCTTAATTGACCAAACCCATAATGGATAGCAGAGATTTTTTAAAAAAAACTACAGGTGAATTTCTGTACTTTCACAGAGTGCTTACTAAATGAAAAAACAATGGGGAAATTTTAAGACAGATGCTGGTAGAAAAACAGTGGGAAGCCAGCAGTGTGGGGCAGCAGCCAAAAAAAGCTAATACAATCCTTGGTTGTATAAACAGAGGCATAGAATCAAAATCATGTGAAGTATCAGTACTTTATAAAACCTTAATAAGACCATACCTGGAATATTGCATCCAGTTTTTGTCAGTACACTACAAAAATGATGTTGAGACTTTGGAAAAAGTGCAGAGAAGAGCAACTAAGATGATTAAAGGTCTGGAGACTAATTGATATGAAGAACGGTTGCAGGATTTGGGTTTGGCTAGTCTAGAGAAAAAAAGGAGTACAGTGACATGATAGCAGTATTCCAGTATTTGAGGGGCTGCCACAAAGGAGGTCAACTTATTTTCCAAAGTACCAGAAGGCAAGATAAGAAACAATGGATGGAAACTAATCAAGGAGAGAAACAACCTGGAATTAAGGAGAAACTTCCTAACAGTGAGAACAATTAATCAGTGGAACAGTTTGCTTTCAGAAATTATGGGTGCTTCATCACTGGAGGGTTTTAAGAAGAGACTGGACAGTCATTTGTTTGAAATGGTATAGGGTCTCCTGCTTGAGCAGGGGGCTGAACTAGAAGACCTCCAAGGTCCCTTCCAGATTCTATGCTATTCTGTTCTGTTCTATTCTATATATATTTTTTGAAGAAAGCCAGAATGGCTATGAATGAGAGTGGGCTTCTGCTCTCTTTGTTATATGAAAATAGGAATTGGCAGTGAAGTGGGAGTACGATATATCTGAATGTGCATGGTAGGATAAAGAGTGATATTTCCAACCTGATACGATCAAGAGTGAATGGGTACTGAATGAATATGTGTTGAATACAAAAGTGAATACTAATAGAGTGTAAAAGAAATATTGTACAGTAAGGTATTTAGATCATACATTATAAAGGATAGGGATCTGCAGTTCTTTGGATCCAAACAGAAAGCATGAAATCTCCAGAAAATCTGGTTGAGGGAGTGACACTGACAGGGTGATACAACAGCTTTAAAGCAAGACTTGTGACCCCCAAATGCCACACCAGTTAGCAAATGACATCTTTCATAGTAGTCGCACTATTCCAGATATAGTGTATACCGTAGTATATTGGACTTGTGGTAGTGCAGTAGTTAGAATGCAGTATTGCAGGCAAGCTGTGCCCATAGCCAGGAATTTGTTCCTGACCAACTCAAGACTGACTCAACTTTACATCCTTCTGAGGGTCAGTAAAATGAGGACCCAAATTGTTGGGGGGAATATGCTGACATTTGTAAACTGCTCAGAGAGTGCTGTAAATATAAATGCTATTGTTATAATGCAGGTAGAGCTCCAACAGCATGTTTGTTCCTGCTACAGGCAGTTGATTCCCCCTGTCAGTGTCTTCTTTTCTCAACCTTATTTTCTGGGGATTGCACACAAGGAGAGTAGTTTAAAGAACAAAGGGCAATTAATAGTTGTGACTGCAGTTTGTAAGGATAGGGTAATATGGAAAGATATAACAGATGGTGTGGTCATGTGCATTTTTTTTACTTATGTCTGGATTGTTTAATGATAGAGTTTCCAATCCCAATTAGCCCTGTTAATCAAGGACTACCTGTCCTGACTCTCCACTCACTTTCTGTTTAATCTCTTTTCTATTTTAGTGAGGATCTTCTTGTGTTACCTGTGAGAGCTGAGAGATGGTATGTAGATGAAGATCAAGACAAATTGCCATTGGGATCCCATCAAGAGAGGGAAAGACCTAGTTAACATCAAAACCATGCCAAGAACCAAAATGAACTCCAACCTGCATTTTTATTTATGATGTTGCTACTTTTTAATCATTGATCTCTTTCCATGTGATCCAAAAATTCAAAGACATTTAAGAACATCTAGTTCTTATATTTGTGAAAGGGATGTAGCTTGTTCCTTCCTTCCTTCCTTCCTTCCTTCCTTCCTTCCTTCCTTCCTTCCTTCCTTCCTTCCTTCCTTCCTTCCTTCCTTCCTTCCTTCCTTCCTTCCTCAAAATGTCACTACTTCATCTTTAGCTTCTTGGTGGATTACTTGTAAAAATATAAATGCTGGAAAGTAGTAGATTGATAACATGCAGATTTTGCATTAAAATTTATGTTCCAGGTAAACAATGCAGAATAAAAGTCTCATCTGAAACTGCCTTGTGACTCATTTTCTTTTGGTCTTATAGAATTTTAATAAATAAGTGTTATGCAACTTATAATATAAGCTTTAAATTATAAGCTATTTCCATCTTTATGAAATCTGATCAAGTTTAAGAAACATGTAACCCCGAACACATTTTCCCACTTTATAGTTCTGTTTTCTCCCTATCTGAAATTGAAAGCTCTCCCCAGGAAAATGCTCTCGACAAATGGAAGAGGAACATTGTTCTGGATCATATAGCTCTATGTAACCTCGTACAGCTCTATGTAACCCTAACTAGTGAGCATGTATCAGTATGTTAGAATATCTGGCAGTTATTGGGTTAAATGCTGGGTTTGTTGATGTGTCAGTGGAAAGAGTTTCTAAAGGGCATTGAGAGACTTCCTGGACACAAGCCAGATTGGAATGTCTTTGTCTGAAAGAAGCATGGGCCATCAGATGTCACCCGATGAGCCTGCGCCATTATAAAGATGGTATGGAAGAGAGCATCATTCTTTTACCTATAGGAATGGACAAAAGATGTATTTTCCAGAAGTAACAACCACAGCATGAATGCAAGTAATCTTTCTGATTGAAATATATTTTTTGTTATGAAATCATTTCTATTGAGTTATCTATCTGACTTGATTTAAAAGAAAGAGTTTTTAACTCAGAGTCAGAATAAACATAGTTCTCAAATTATGACTGTAATGGAGCCTGCTCATCATAGACGTAAGTCGTGAAGGGTTGTAAAATGCATTTGGTCATGTGATGATCCAATTTTATGATCATTTATGCAGTGGTTGTTAAGCAGGTAACGTAGTTGTTAAGCAAACCAACAGTTTGCAGTGGGTACAATTTTGACAAAACCCAGAAATAAATGCCAATTTTCAGCACAACCATTGTAAAACATGGCTATGTCTTCACAAGACACTGCAAACTGCCATAAATGAGGCTCGGTTGTTGAGGGCCTGAATTTCAGTCACTTGATAGTTGGGGAGACCATCTGTCAAGACTGCTTTGTACTTTCACCTATATTCCACTTGATCACTGTTTGACAAAGAAAAGGGGGGGAGGTGGGACAGAATGCAAGTGTGGGGAGAATTGCATCTGAGTATCGCCAGTTCCCATAAGACAGTGCTCCAACCCAAGGACACATTGAGCAGGTGGGCTAGTGTGGCTTGCTGATTCCCATGACAAAATGAACAGAAGTGACTGGTGGACGTAATGGATTGTGGGTGGCCCATAGGGAAAGGGGGGAATTAACTATGCTAGCTTTTGCACAGGAAACCCAGAGCTGGTTTTGCTTCATCTGTGCCAATATGGTTTATTCAGTAAAGTTCATACTCATGGTAAAATAATGTCCCAGGAGTTTCTTCTGGATCCGCCAACTGGACAGTTCACATTGTCTATTCAAACTTTGAATCTGGGTCATAAGTATTTCCAAAAAGATCTTTTCTCATGCTGAATGATCGCTAAGTGATTGGTTGTAAATTGAGACTACCTATAGAAGACTGAGGTGGGCTTATAAGTTTGGTACACAACCTAAAGCATTAGAAGCAAACCTGGTATTATTTACAGCATGTCTTTGAAACAAAAATAATAATTGAGATAGAGGTCCCCAACCTATGGGATACGGCCCACTACCGGGCTGTGGCCTCTTGGCCACCAGACAGCGTGAGCGGCTGGCCAGTGCACATGCGCCTGTGCGCACGCTCACCCCCTGTCCTTGTGCCATTGCTAGCCAAGTTGTGAGCCTCTCGCTGGCACTAGGTGAGCCACGAGCCTCTTGCTGATGCTAGCAGCCCCACTTGCAGAGTATGCATGCTCACGGCCCTGTTTGCGCATGCACACGCAGCCACATTTGCGCATGTGCACATAAAGGTGCCTGTTCTTCCCTTTCCCACTGGGCCACTAACCCAGAAATGTTGGCGACCCCTAGATTTAGAGACGAGATGAACTCTAAAATAGATTTTAAAATTAATTATAAGAATATTTCCTTTTGGTTGTTTAAATATTTATAAATATATATATATATATTAAGATTTTAAAACTAACTAATCTTCCTGTGGGAAGGAGTTGATTCAGAAAAAAACATGATAGGAGGGGGCTTTGAAGGTTGTCTAGAGGGAATCAGAAAGAAATAAAGATTGTAATTAAGGAAGAAGAGATCCATTAATACAGAAAGGGGCAATATTATTTGTGTGTGGAAAGTCAAGAGTTAATAATGTCTTTATAATTAAAGGGGATATATAAATAATAAATCAGAAGAATGACTTGGAAATATTTGAAGTACATATTGGGTGATTAGTGTTGTTTTCTTTGAAAGAGGGAAAAGCACTTAAAATTGATAAAATTGATTATCCCTTAAGCAATTTTTTTTCTCATACCTGCCGATTCCAACAAGAGTAAATAGAAGCCAGACTAGCAGCTTCTTAGTAGAGCATTTGAAAATGTAACAAATTTGGACAACAGGGTTAGAGACCTGATATATTTTTCTGTTCTGTCTATGTAAGGTGACCAACTTTTTTACAATGAAAAGGAGGACACAAATAAATTGAAGAAAAAAATATCGTAAATAAAAGACACATTTTATTCATTGCAACAATAATACAGAATAACTATAATATGATAAACGCATAATAAAACATTTGTAACAATAACATTTTATATTGTAATTATGCCTACATGCCTATTAATTATTATTTAAATTAGTACTTTTCCATTGAATGAATATTTTTTGTCAATGTATCATCTTCTAACAATATATTGGGAATATCTGAACAAGAAATATCCTTCATATTGAATTTTACGGCAAATGCTGCAGCTAGAGTATCAACATTCAATCTCAATTTTTCACTTTTCCAAAAATCATTAGCAATTGAAAAAATCCTTTCAACTGCTGCATTAGTTCCAGGGCAGCACAACGTAAATTGGACAAGAATAAATAAATTTTCACATGGAATATGTTCATTTTTGAAATGGCTGAATATTTCCACCCTCTTTTATCAATTTTAACGTGTTTATTTTCCCATTGTATTAATTTTTCCGAATTTAAAAATACATTCAGTCTTTTAATTTCTTCAAAGAGACAATTGTCATCTATTTTAATGTCTGGCATTTCTTTAGACAAAAACTCAACACAAGATTCAATATCTGTCCAATATACTTGCAATGAAGTCAAAAAACACCATTGAAAACTGTTATTTCCTGTGATGTTTATTTCAGACCATTTTTCAATATACTGAAAACATGTTTGGTAAAAATTATGCACTTTTTTGATAAACTTTTCCATTATGCCCGGATTTGATTTCTCTGACAATTTTCTTTTTATAACTAAAGGAAGAAATTTTTCTTCAAATCGAGTTTTATATTGAAAGATAAAGTCATTCAAAATAAGACTAACTTCTGTAGCTGAAATGTGTTCACCTTCAATCTTTTGAATCATTTTGTGAAAAATAGATGCTTGATTATGTACAAAATACATTAATATCTCAGATATTTCATTATTGAAAAACAATTCCAGGATTTTAGGACATTTGTCTAAACTTAAAAAATATGAATGGAGAGGCTCAAATAATTGTAGAACATGCTTATAGCAGGTGTTAGAGCAAGCCATCTAACTTTTGAATATCCTAAAAGTTTTTTGTATTTTGTATTTTGTGAAGAAGTGAACATTCGCTTCTTCACAAAATTGTTTTAAAGTAGCCACACGGATGGTAAAACGACTAAAACAGGGCTTTTCAACCTTTTCACCCAACTGTACCACTTTTAGGATATGGTAACATCCAAGTACCACCAGTCACCTAGCGAGGTGTCAAAAACTTGATGACCACAAAAAAAAAGGAAAAAAGTGATAAAGTACAGATAGTCCTCGACTTACAACAGTTCGCTTAGTGATTGTTCGAAGTTACAATGGCATTGAAAAAATTGCCCCGCAAGGCACAGCCGAGCAAGACACCTGCCTGCCCACCCAGTGGCGCTCTTCCTCCTGTCCGAGGTTTTCATTGTTGTGAGCATTTCTGTTGAGGATTGGCAGTGGGTGAGGTGGGGGTATTTGGTTTTTATTTCCCCCGTCTGCTGGGTGGTCACAGTGTCCCAGGGTCATTTTGGTCCCAGTGTCCCAGAGTCATTTTGGTCACTTCACATGACCCTGGGACACTGTGACCATCATAAATATGAATCAGTTGCCAAGCATCTGAATGTAAATCACAAGATCCTGGAGATGCTGCAACATTCCAGCTGATCGGCGCTTTTTCTGGGCTCAGCAGAAGCACCAGGATCAGTGCTGCTTTCCAGCTGGATTCTGGCGCTGATCCTGGTGCTTCCACTGAGCCTTGACAGCCCCAAAGAAGCGCCGACCAGCTGGAAAGAGGCACTGATCTTGGCACTTCTGCTGAGCCCTGACAGCCCTGCAGCTCCAGCCATCTCTCATTCAGGTTTGTGCGGTGCTGCCACTGGTTCAGCTCATTCCCCTCTCCTGCTACCACTTTTTTAGGATGGTCGCATACCACCTGCCAGGTGCCAATGTACCACAGGTGGTACCCGTATCACTGGTTGAAAAGCCCTGGACTAACATACAAATAAATTGTAGTTATTATTACTTCTACATCAATTGGCCTGGCACATGATGCCGTGTTGATTGCATTTGACAAAATATGTGCATTACAACCTATTCCTAGTATTTTCTTTTGGAGTAAATCTTGTAATTTTACATACAAATTATTCATACACACATCTTCGCCCACCAATCTTTGTGTTTGTATTATCAGCTGTTAGTGCAACAACTTTGGATTTCAAATTGTTTTCATTTATTACTCTGTATAGATGGTTTGACAAAATTTCAGCAGTTTTGCCCTCAATGGATTCTAAATTTAAAATTTTTACTTGAATGCCCTTGGTAACATTAAAATATCTTACTAGTATTTGATACAATTTATTAAAATATCTTACTAGTATTTGATACAATTTGATACAAATACTATCTTACTAGTATTTGATACAATCTTACTAGTA